GTATATTCTGATATTGTGGGATGAACACTGTAAACATCTACTAAGTCCATTTGTTCAAAAGTTTGGTTCAGTTCTAACATTTCATTGTTATAACTCTTTACTATTTTTTTAGTGGTGCTGTGTATTGAATCAAGAGTCTCATGCATGCTAAACCTATCACAGCGCCACAGACTAAGCTACATTTGTGTGTGTGTGTGTGTGTGTGTGTGTGTGTGTGTGTGTGTGTGTGAGAGAGAGAGAGAGAGAGAGAGAGAGAGAGAGAGAGAGAGGTCTTGCTATATAGTTCAGGCTGGCCTTGAACTTACTGTGTACTCCAGGCAAGACCTCAAACTCATGGAGAACTTCTGCCTCAGCTTCCCAAATGCTGGGATAACAGGCATGTGCCACCATACCCAACAGCTAGCATTCTTTATTTTATTTATTTATTTATTGCTATACTTCTTAAGTTGTATCCACTTGACTGAATGTGGTGGCACACACCTATAATCCAAGCTCTCTAGAAGCCTGGGGCACGAGGATAAAAATATCAGTCTCACCACAGGCAATTTAGTGACTTAACAAGACCTATCTCAAAATAAAAGTTAAAAAAAGGTGAAAGTCACCAAGGATTTAGCTCAAGCACGAAGTCATGAGTTCTATATCCGGTATCAAAAAAAAAAAAAAGTGAAAGTTTTGAAGATGTGGCTCAGTGAAAAGGCCTTGGTTTTTTTTTTTTGTCTTTTTCTTTTTCTTTTTTTTTTTTCATTTTTTTTTATCGGTACCGGGGATCAAACTCACGACTGCCTGCTTGTAAGGCAGGCGTTCATGCCGCTGAGCTAAACGCCCAGACCCTAAGGCCTTGGTTTTGATTCTCAGTACAGAAACTGATGAAGGGAACAGAAAGTTGCAATACAAAGTGAGTCCAGCTGGGTCAGATGTGGTGGTACACACATGTAATCCCAGCACTTGGGAGGCTGAGGCAGGAACTTGTTTCCAAAAAAGAAGCAAATCCAGCTGAAGCTGACCCCAAGGATTTGCTAAGGGTTAAAGTATGGGATTTTGCATTTGCTTACGTACATCAATAGACTGCATGCTAAGTCTCACTACCCCACCTCTTCTCTATGGGTCATCAGATGTAGGTGGGCAGTTCTGATGTGGCTCTTTGGCTCTGTCTAGGTGAGGGGCCTGATGTCCTGGTATACAGCTTGGATTTTGGTGGGCATCTGCGGATGATGATGAGAGTTCAGAACCTGCTTGGCCACTATCTTATCCATGGCTTCCGGGTTCGGCCAGAGCCCAGCAGAGACCTGAACTCAGAGGCCATGGTAGCTGTGTTTGGAAGCAAGGGACTCTGCATTGTGAAGATTGGCTGGGGTCAGAGCCACTACCGGGAGCTCTGGCGCTCTGGCCTATGGAACATGTCCGACTGGATCTGGGATGTACGCTGGCTTGAAGGCAATATAGCCTTGGCCCTGGGTCACAACTCAGTGCTGCTTTATGACCCTGTGGTAGGGTGCATGCTGCAGGATGTGCCCTGCACCGACAGGTGCACCCTCTCCTCAGCCTGCCTGATTGGAGACACCTGGAAGGAGCTCACTGTCGTGGCAGGTGCCATTTCCAACCAGCTCCTAGTCTGGTACCCAGCAGCAGCTCTAGCAGACGGCAAACCTGTGGCACCGGACCGACGGGTCAGTGGGCACGTGGGCGTCATCTTCAGCATGTCCTATCTGGCAAGCAAGGGTTTGCTGGCAACGGCTTCAGAAGACCGAAGTGTTCGGATCTGGAAAGTTGGTGATCTTCGGGTGCCCGGGGGCCGGGTGCAGAATATCGGGCACTGCTTCGGACACAGTGCCCGTGTGTGGCAGGTCAAGCTCCTAGAGAACTACCTCATCAGTGCAGGAGAGGACTGTGTGTGCTTGGTGTGGAGTCATGAAGGTGAGATCCTCCAGGCCTTTCGGGGCCATCAGGGCCGAGGGATCCGGGCCTTAGCTGCTCATGAGAGGCAGGCATGGGTTGTCACTGGAGGCGACGACTCAGGCATTCGGCTGTGGCACCTGGCAAGGTGTGGGTACCCAGGATTAGGGGTCTCAGCTCTCGGCTTTAAGTCCCCTAGCAGGCCAGGTACCCTCAAGGCTGTGACATTGGCTGGCTCTTGGCGACTGTTGGCAGTGACAGATATAGGTGCCCTGTACCTTTATGACCTTGAGGTCAAATGTTGGGAGCAGCTGCTAGAGGACAAACATTTCCGGTCCTACTGCCTGCTGGAGGCAGCTCCTGGTCCGGAAGGCTTTGGACTGTGCGCTATGGCTAATGGGGAAGGTTGTGTCAAGGTTGTCCCCATCAATACTCCAGCTGCTGCTGTGGACTGTGCCCTATTCCCTGGGAAGGTCCACAGCCTGAGCTGGGCCCTGCGTGGCTTCGAGGAGCTCCTGCTGCTGGCTTCTGGCCCTAGTGGAGTGATGGCTTGCCTGGAGATCTCAGCTGCACCCTCTGGCAAGGCCATCTTTGTCACAGAACGTTGCAGATACCTGCTGCCCCTAAGCAAGCAGAGATGGCACACGTGCAGTGCCTTTGTGCCCCCAGGTGACTTCCTAGTGTGTGGGGACCGTCGAGGCTCTGTGCTGCTGTTCCCCTCCAGACCAGGAGTGCACAAGGACCCTCGGATTGGAGGCGAGGCTGAGGCTGAAGCTGGGATGCTGAGAGGGGGTGGTGACACTGATGGGGACAGCAATGCTGTGGCTGAGTGGAGCCCTGTGTCTACCCTCCATTCTCTGCATGGGAAGCAAGGTGTGACCTCAGTCACCTGCCATGCTGGGTATGTGTACAGCACAGGGCGGGATGGTGCTTACTACCAGCTCTTTGTGCGGGGCGGCCAGCTCCACCCAGTCCTGCGGCAGAAGACCTGTCGGGGAATGAACTGGGTGGCCGGGCTTCACGTGGTGCCTGATGGGAGCATGGTCATCCTGGGTTTCCATGCTAACGAGTTTGTGGTGTGGAGCCCCCGGTCGCATGAGAAGCTGCATGTTGTCAGCTGTGGAGGAGGGCACCGGTCCTGGGCCTTCTCTGATACCGAAGCAGCCATGGCCTTTGCCTACCTGAAGGATGGGGATGTCATGCTATACCAGGCTCTGGGGGGCTGTACCCGGCCACATGTGATCCTCCGGGAGGGTCTACATGGCCGGGAGATCACCTGTGTAAAACATGTGGGTGCCGTCACCCTGGGCCCTGACTGTGAAGTGCCCTGCCTAGAGCAGCCTGACTACCTGGAGCCTGGAAGTGAGGGACCTGGCCTGACCGACATCGTGATCACCTGCAGTGAGGACACTACTGTGTGTGTCTTGGCGCTGCCCACCACCACGGGCTCCGCCCACGCCCTCACAGCAGTCTGCAATCACATCTCTTCTGTGCGTGCTATGGCTGTGTGGGGACTCGGCACCCCAGGAGGCCCTCACAGTCCTCAGCCAGGTCTGACTGCCAACATAGTGTCTGCTGGGGGTCGAGCAGAGATGCACTGCTTCAATATCACAGTCAGTCCAGACCCTAGCACCCCGAGTGGCCTTGCCTGCCACACCATGCACCTTTCATCCCACCGGCTAGATGAGTACTGGGACCGGCAGCGCAATCGGCATCGGATGGTCAAGATGGACCCTGAGACCAGGTAATGCATGCTGCTGGGCAGAGGCGTGACATGGGATCATGGTGCAGGGCAGGTGTGCCCACATTTGAGGACTGCCCCTGACAGCTCTGTCATCTTAGGTACATGTCCCTTGCTGTCTGTGAACTTGATCGGCCTGGCGTTGGCCCCCTTGTGGCTGCAGCCTGTAGTGATGGGGCAGTGAGGTGAGTGCGAGGGCCTGGGGATGGGGGTGTGTGAAGATGAAGGGTGCTGAGTAGTCCAGCACAGGTTCTGAGCTGGGCCATCCTCCGGCCCCCAGGCTCTTTCTCTTGCAGGACTCTGGGCGGATTCTGCAGCTCTTTGCTGAAACTTTCCACCATGAGCGCTGTGTTCTCAAGGTCCACTCCTTTACACATGAGGCACCCAACCAGCGGCGGTGAGGGGCTGGACAGTAGTCCTGCCTGGGCGGGAGGAGGGTCCCTGTGGTCTCCATCCCACTTAAATCACTTTGCTGCCCTGCCTGCGCTCCCAGGTGGCTGTTTTTGTGCAGTGCGGCTACCGACGGCAGCCTGGCCTTCTGGGACCTTACCACTGTACTGGACCGTGGCTCTGCGCTCCTAGAACCTCCAGCAGAGCCTGGCCTTCCTTACCGTGCGTAACCAGCTGCATCTGGGGCTGTGCTTCCCCCTCCCCGCCCTCACACACAAAGACCCTAAAAGCCATCTTCTCTCTCCAGGGTTGGGTACTCCCTGCATGACACTCCAGGCCCACAGCTGTGGTGTGAACAGCCTGCACACCTTGCCCACACGTGAGGGCCACCACCTTGTGGCCAGTGGCAGTGAGGATGGCTCCCTCCACGTCTTTGTGTTAGTGGTAGAGACACCAGAGCCGGAAGAAGCTGTGGATGAGCCCGAGCTGGTACCCCAGTTGCATGTGCTAGAAGAATACTCTGTCCCTTGTGCACATGCTGCCCATGTGACAGGCCTCAAGATCCTGAGTCCCAGCCTCATGGTATCAGCCTCCATTGACCAGCGGCTGACATTCTGGCGTCTAGGGCACGGCGAACCTACCTTCGTGAACAGTACTGTGTACCATGTGGCAGATGTGGCCGACATGGACTGCTGGCCCGTGAGCCCTGCGTTTGGCCACCGTTGTGCTCTTGGGGGCCAAGGGCTTGAGGTTTATAACTGGTATGACTGAGGAGCCCCACGGTGGCTAGTGTGCTGGGTACGGGGCCTGCTCACAGGCAGTGGAGCAGGGAACACCTGTCTGTGCCTGTGCCCAGCACATCTTGAGGGGAGGCAGTGGCAGCCGTGGGTTCCTGACTCCAGAGCAGGACTACAGGTGAGGAGACTGTTTCCTGGGCAGCCTGAGGGGATACCCTGCTTCCCATGACTGGACAAAATTTTGTAACAGAAGCAATTTATTTTGGTTCCAAGGTTCTAACATGTGGCTTTTGTTTTCTTTTCCCAGTTGAAGATTTTGTAAATGTCCCTAGTGGTTGGCCCTCTGTGGCCTTAGATGTGGCTGAGTGGAGGGAGACCCAGCAGAGCCAAGCCAGCATGGAGCACTTCACGGATGGCCCTCAGCAGCTGCAGGCGTGCAAACATCTGCCCAAAGAGGTGTGGCCGAGGCTCCTGAAGGAGAAGGTGCCTACTGGTCTCATCCTTTGCTTCTCTTGCCTTTACTCTGTACCCTTCTACACCTCCCACGTACCCCCTTTTGCTGGGTGCTCACCCCTAGGATGTGTACCCGGTTGTAGTATGAACTGAAGTCCATGCTGAGCTGCACCAGGAACTTGCATACCTAGAGACAGAGACTGAGTCACTGGCTTGTGTCTTTGGCCCAGAATAAAGTAGAATTTGCTGTGTCTGTCCTGGTGTGCTGGGACTTACTGTCTCCGTGCGAGCACTGATGTGAAGCCCCGGGCTGGTGCAGGTCAGGCCTGCAGTCTGGCTCAGCAGGTGTGGGAAGGGAAGGACACTATTGAAGAGCAGCAGCCACTCACCCTGCAAGGGGACAGGGGTGCTGGGAGGGAAAGTTCAAGCCTGCTGCTTGTGCCAGCTACCCAAGAGAGGGGCACTCACCTCATCGTGTAGCAGTGAGAAATCCAGACTTTTCACAGATGGAAAAGTGGGGTATAGACCTTGTTCCACGTTGCGCTTGTAACCCTCAAAGAGTGTGGCAAGACGGGCACAGTTATACATGACAAATATGCCACTCTTTGTGCCCTTTGTGGAGATGCTGCTGTCAGAGAGGAGGAGCTGGGGGATGGAGCCGGAGATTCAGAGAGGGTACCACAGCTACCAGCCCAACCTCAGTCCTGTGAGGTGCCCATGCTCACCTGACCCTGGGGTGCTGTGCTCAGCATCTCAAACTTGATGGTGGCCACAGTGAGAACCTCTAAGATCTCTGTCCACGCCGGGTCTGGGTGAGTTGTGTATACTGTCAGTCTCTGCACACAGGGAGCAAAGGGGAGGGGTGCCAATCACCTGCCCCTACTCCAGCATACAACCAGGGTCTCCCAGGCACACCTTGTACCCGACTGTCACCATGCTTCACTGTTGAGGCCTTGCAGACCTGAGCATGCCGGAGCCTGCAGTTGAGAAGAGAAGAGCTGGCGGGTAAAGTCCCAGCACAGACCCCTGGCCCCTATGTCATCTCCCCTGGCAGGGGTGGCCTTCTAACCATACTCACTCGTAGTATTGCAGGGCAGTCAGCGTCCTAGGTGCTACAGCTACTTTCACTGGGCCACAGACCAGGTGCTTCTGTGGAAGACAGTGGGGCTCAACTCTGTTGTCCTGTAACCACAATCTCTCAAGTAACCGAAATCTGCTGTCTCTACTACACCCTGAGCCCCCTTCAACCTGGAGCCATCACTCTTGCTGCCCTGCAAGCCTAGCCCTTCAAAACATTATCCTTCAGCCCTTTTCCAGGACTTCCACACCTACTGAGCAAACCAGCTCAGTAATTTCAGTCTCCTCCAAGGCCAAGTGTCAGTTTCTGGATCCATCAGCTAATACGCCCTTTTTTCCTCCAGTTTCTGAGGATTCCCTGAGGTTGGGGGAGCTCCACCATCAACCTACCTGTCTGAGAGGAGCCTGGTCATCCAGTTTCCACCAAAGCAGGTCTAACTTTTGTTGCTGGAACTCCTCTTCACAGCTCACCAGGTGTATGACCATACAGCTGTGTGGGTCATTTGGGGGCCTGGCCTTATAAGGAGAGAGGATAGTCACCGCAGAGGCAGGCTATGTGGTTTGTTAAAGGTCGCAGGACTGGGTGTCACTAACCAGGCCTGGGTAGTTGCCCTTGGGCCAACACCAAACAGCTTCCTGCAGCTCAGCTAACACACACAGCAGATCCTCCGTCACTGCAGAGAGAACACAGATGCTAAGGCTGCCCAAGGGCAGAGGTACACCCCTCTTCGGCTCTGCTTAGCCCCAAGTCCCACCCAGACACTTGTCCAGGTTGGGGTCATAGCCAGCCCTGTAGCCCTGTTGTTCCACCAGCTCCTTCAGGCCCAGGCTGCCCAGGACACCAGGCGGTAGTGTCTCCTGGTTATGAGCAGTCGGGAGCTTCGAAAGCACAAGGTTTCTCAGGATTTCCGAAGATGCTCTTTCTGAGGAGGTGGGCCAGTCCACTCGAAGTTTTTGCAGGAAGGTTGATAAATGCGGGTCCTGCACTGCAGGAACTAAGCGCACGCACACCCTGTAAAGTGAGGGGGCAGCCTCAGCCTGTGCAGCAGCTCCGTATTGCCACCCTCTGTGCCTGCCCACAAGGTCTCACCCTTTTCCACCTTGGCCTCGGCCTGCGCTTACCCTTGACTTCGCAGAGCTCGTGCCAAGTGATCGGCTACGATCACGACCCGCAGCTGGCTCAAGCGGAGTGCACCAGGACTACAACGCAGCGCCGGGCAATGCAGGAGGATGCGCAGGCCTTGTGAGGCCAGGCTGTCTGGCGTGGCATAGGAGTCCACGGCGCTGAGCACGCGCTCGAAGACCACAGGCCTCTGAAGCTGGAGCGACAAGCCCGCTGGTGTCTGCGCGCAGCGCAGCACTGGGGCCACCCCGGGGCCCTGCAAGCCGGTGAGGGCGTGAAGCACATGCTCGGGCACCTGCAGACAGGCAGGCAGGCAGGCAGCCAGTGAGCGGGAGCCAATTCCCGATCCTGCCAGGGCCGGGTCACAACTCCCACCCTGCTCATGCCCACCTGCCCTTCCCCGAAGCGCGCTTCTAGTGCGCGTCGCGGTGCCAGGAAGTCTCTCACTCGCAGGTGCTGTGCATGTGTCTCTTTGAACCACACTGGGTTGCCAGGCCCTAAAGCCGCATTTAGGGCTCCTAGCGTCTCCCCTATCCCAAGACGCCCAGTCGCCATGGTGACCGGAAGGAGCGCGGGGAACCGGAAGCAAATCTTCGAAGGCGGAACTTCCGGCAGCACCTCCGGGAGGAGGCGGGGCTCCTGGCAGCGACCCTAGAGTTAACAAGTGTGTGGGAGTTGAGGGGCGGCACCGGCCTCCCCCCTTCGGCGCCCAGTGCGTAAACTGATTTTCTTCTAGACCAGAGTCCGCAACCCCCGGGGCTGTTCTCTTCGTCACCCCGCGTTAGTAATCAGAGAAAGGATGCTCGCCACCTAGTGAGGGCTCAAGCCAGACGCCTTATCATTAAAGTCTTAACCCTTGATGATGATGTCTCATTGTACTGTGCTACACGATTGAAACGGTAGAGCCGGGCGTAGCGGCTAAAGTTTGTAAACCCAGCAGGCTGGAGGCCAATGCAAGAGGATCTCGAATTCGAGGCAGCCTGGGTAACCTAGTGAGATCCTGTTCAAAATAAAAAGGGGTGTAAATGTAGCACAAAGGAAGCTCCTGGGTTAAATTTACAGTATGGAGAGAAGGGGAAAAGTGTCTGGCCGGGCCTGGTGGCTCAGGCCTGTAACCCCAGCATTTGGGAGGCTGAGGCAGGAGGATCTTTGCATGTTCAAGAGCAGCCTGGGCTACAAAGTGAAACTGCATAGACCCTGTCTCAGACAAAAAAAAAAAAAAAAAAAAAGGTTTCAAATACTTTTTTTTCAAGACAGGATCTGTGTAATTCAGGCTGTCCTTGAACTCACTTTGTAGCCCAGGCAGGCATTGAACTCAAGTGATCCTCTCCTGAAGGCCTCAGTCTCCTGAATGCTGGGATTACAAGTATGCAACACCACATCCGGTTCAAATACATCGTCATTAGAAAAGACAGTAACATTAAAGACAGACATTCTTTCACTACTTTTATTTATCTTATCTTTAGCAGGGCATTATAGAAAGTGCCTGTAATCTCAGCATTCTAGGAGGCTGAGACAGGATGATCAAAAGATTAACTGCAGCCTGAGCAAATTAACTTGTTTTGTTTTGCTTGAGACAGGGTCTCTGAATATAGTTTAGGCTGCCCTTGAATCCACTATGTAGCTCACAGGGAAGTAAAGACTAAAGGCTGGTGATGTAGTTCACTGAAAGACTCTGGGTTTAATAAAAATCTCATATTCTTTGGTAGTTTCTGGTTTCTTTCCTCGTTTGAAATACAGGGTCTTCTTTTGAGATAGGGTCTTCTTATGTAGTCTAGGCTGGCTTCAATCAGCAATCTTCCTCACTCAGCCTCTGGAGCACTGGGATTACAGGCATGCACCACCACACCTGGCATGTTATTTCTAATAAATACAACAATTTGATCAAATTGTCCATCTTCTTTTCATACCTAAGGAAGTAGAAGCTTCATATGGTTTCCAGAATTTACTTTTTTAGACAGGGTTTGGCTATTATTCAGGCTGGCTTTAAACACGTGGAGAATCTCAGCCTCCCACCTGAGCAGGGAATGAATCTCAATTCGACACCACACTTGGCTAGAATTACCAGCCACTTATGTTTTTACTTTATCCTGGTGCACTGTACTTTAACCAGCGATCAATCCTAAAAGGCTTCTTGATGTAGGCAACAAACCTGTTTGGGCCAGTTCAAACAAAGTGATCATGAGAGGATTTGGCCAGACCTCAGTAGGCAGAGCCTGCTCTTCTACCAGTGGGAAAGTCCTTTCTTCTGTCCCAAGAGGGTTTCCAAAATTTCCATTTCGATGGAATACAAGCCCCACCCACCCTCCTAACAGACTGAACCCAAGCTGCATCTCTGCAGGTAAGTGGAAGCCTGCAACTCATAGAGGAAGGAAATCTAAGAAGACTCTACTTAGTAAGGCCCTTTCCCAGCCAGGGCTGTGGACTTCTGCTGGAAGGTGCCGAAAGAGCACTGGGCGGACACGACATTCCCGATGGCTTCTTGGGTGCCCACTCAACGGGAGTGATCGTGTCATTCCAAAGCACTTTCTGCGCCGCGGGTGCCGCGGGTGCACAGCCGGGACTCTTGGCAGCAGAACTGGGCCCCGCTGGACTTCAGCTGCTTGCGGCCCACAAGACGGTTGCAGGGTGGTTTTTCCCCAGGAAGTGCAGGGCTATCTTTAGCGAGTTGGGGCCGGGCGCCCCTACCCTGAGGACCCGGGCTTCCTCGTCAGCGCTCCAGAGCAGGTCGCGAGATGGACGCGGCCACCTCCAGTCCGGGCGCACCTGGAGGGTCGTGACCAAAACGGCCCGGTAGTATCTGGGCAGAGAGCTGCTCAGGCAGGAGAGCAGGGAACGAAATCCAAGCGCAGCTGGAATGCTCTCAAGACAACAGCTGCTTTTGGGATTCCGTTGCCCGCTGTCCCGCCGCTGGTGGGGCTCATGCCCCAGTTCACCCGCCCCGGGGCCGGACCGGAACCGTCCATCCCACTCCCAGGAGGTGGGCCTGGAGGTGGTGGTGTAACAGTCTGGTGAGAACGAAGCGCTCACCTGGGTCCCAGAACAATAGGAGCGAAGGCTGGGGGTTGGGGGCTCCCCTAAGACCAAGTCCGGATCCTAGTTCCGCAAGGCAGTATTAGCCCTATCGGTCCCACGCAGCCGGTGCCCCTGGTGCGGTGACGGCGGCTGGGCGGGCTCAGGATACGCCGGCAGCGAAACGCCATGGGCCAGAGAGGAAGTCACTCTCGCGGACTTCGGAACACCCGTGCCCAGGCCCTTTGTCCTGTGGCGCTGCCAGCGGCTGGAACGCCAGAGGCAGCAAGAAGCCCACGCGGCAGCGCCGGGTCTCGGTCGACCCCTGTTAGGCCTGAGGGCACCCGCCTTCCGCCCGCGCCAACCCCGGGCAGCAAGACAGCATCACCGAGGGCTACAGAGAGCCAGCGCGCGGAAATGCCCGCACCCCGGGCGCCAGCGGCTCTTGTGCCAGTAGGCCCCGGACTCGGCTCAAAGCAGGGCTGGGGGGGACTGAGAGTGCGCGAGGACGGGATGGCGCTCCGGGTGCTTTCTAGTTTGAGTCCGCTCCACTCCGGCTTGATCTGTCGCAAGCAAATACCGAAGCCACCCTAAAGATCACCCTTCCACTGGCTCCAGAGTCCGCAGACTTGAAGCCATTTTAAGGCCAAACCAACTGGCCACGCCCCCTCTTGCTCACGAGAAGCCAATCCACGCGCGGCCACGCCCCCCCGCCGCGCGCGGCGCCGCGGCCAACGGTCGCGCGAGTGACGGTTGGAGAGCGTGGTAGTTCTGAGAGTTGGTGGGGAAACCTTAGGTGCCCGCTCCGCCCACGGCATTCGATGCCCAAAGCCTGTGATTAAGATCCTGGAGTTGGTGCTGCACTCGGACAGGTGTGCAGGGGGAGCCAGGTGCACGGCCGTCCCGCCCCAGGCCCCAGGAGCCAGTGTCCTGGCTGGGAGCCCGAGCTAGTTTGAGACTGTGGCGCGGGCAGTACCAGAGGGCAGCTCACCTGCCAGGTGTCCCCGCTCCCTCGGGACAGGGGCGGGGCGGGCGGCAGGTGCTGACATCCGATCCCCGCCGAGGACGCGTTCTGCTGAGACCCGGAACTTTTCCCCACTCCCCGCCCCGGTACGCGATTAAAGACCAGGCCGTAATAAACAGCCCTGTTGACGACCGGTAACCCTGTGCGGTGTCCTCCCAGACGCTGGGGGCGCTGTCGGATGCCCGGCCCGAAGCCGTGTCGCCCTTGAAGGCCTGCGGCCGCCTTGCCGCACTCAGACAACCATGGCCGCCTCCGTTACCCTCCGCTACTTGTCCGGGATGCGATTCGTGCCACGCTGTCCGCGCACCGAGCTGCTATGGTAAGCTGGGTCCGCATCCTCCAGCCCGCCCGGCCCGCCCCGCGCCCTGACCTGCCCTTCGCCCTGCAGGACTCCGAGGCGTTGGCACCGGCTCTCGCCGGCAGACGACGAGCTATACCAGCGGACGCGCATCTCTCTGTTGCGACGCGAGCTCCCGCACGCCATGTACATCGACAGCTACAGCAGCCGGGGCTTCACAGTCAATGGAAACCGCGTGCTGGGGCCGTGCGCACTCCTCCCGCACTCCGTGCTGCAGTGGAATGTGAGCCCGCCCAGCTCCCCCTACTCGTGCCCTTAGACCTGGCTTCTCGGTGGTCTTGCAGTGGAGCTGGGGAGAAAGTTCTCCTGCATTTGTCTTATTAAATCACCCCTCCCTATTCAGGTGGGATCCCACCAGGACATCACCGAGGAGAGCTTTTCCCTCTTCTGGATGCTGGAGCCCAGGATAGGTAGGCTGAGGGCTAGGCTGAGGCCGAAGACCCGACTTCCACATGCCCATACTGTAAGATGACCCACTCTTCCCTTCCCCAGAGATCATTGTGGTGGGCACTGGAAACAGGACTGAGAGGCTACATTCCCTGGTGTTGCAAGCCATGAGGCAGCGAGACATAGCTGTGGAAGTGCAGGACACGGTTAGTCCTAGAACTTGCATACACTTCACGAAGTTCAGGCCACCCGGTGAACAGGCTAATGCTAGCCTTTCCTTTGCAGCCCAATGCCTGTGCCACCTTCAACTTCCTGTGTCATGAAGGCCGAGTGACAGGAGCTGCTCTCATCCCCCCACCTGGAGAGATTTCACTGACTCATCACACCCAAGCTGCAAAGTGAACAGCCAAGGACCTATCCGAGGCCTAGGAGAGCACTGGCAGAGTGCTGGCACTCCCACTGCCGAATAACTTCACCCCCATTGGCATTCTATTGTCATGCTTGCTAGGGTAATAATTTATATACTTATCTTTGTATCAGTGTGTTGCTAGCCACAGGCTGTTGGGTCAGTGGGCTTTTTAGGGGTTGTGTGGAATAAGAAAGCAAATCATAGTTCCAGGTCTGCTTGCTCATATGCAGATTTGAAGGGACTCCAGGTGCTTTCCCCTTGAGCTTCTAAGTACATCTTAGGGTTAGGAGGCAGGGCAGATCCCAGTTCCATTGAGAGTCCAGCAAATCACTCCTTGTTCCCAGCCAAGAAAGAACTGAACCCGAAGTACCTCCTAGGTTCGAAGAACAGACACCCTTTTCTTTTTTCTTTTTTTTTTTTTTTGGTCTTTTTGGTTTTTATCGGTACCAGGAATCGAACTCACAACTGCCTGCTTACAAGGCAGGCGCTTATGCTGCTGAGCTAAATCCCCAGCCCCCAGACACCCTTTTTTAAGATCAAGAATACCCTGGTAAACTAACTCCCTCTTCCTAGGTTGCTCAGAGCAGGACCTAGGCTTCCCCACATCTTAGGAGATAGGCACGGCGCAAGGACCTACTCTGGAGCCTGCTTTCCCTTCCATATAACTATGACCCTGATCTTGCCTGAGCTGCCCACTATGCAAGGGAGAAGGGTTGTATATGACTCAGTATACCAGGTATTGTCTGCAAGGGGGCATCTGCAGGGCCCTGCATGTCTACTAACTTCAAAGATCAGGCACCCCTTTTATTTTCCAAACTTTTATTGAAAAACCAAAGAGGTATGATGCATTCCTTTTCAGAAAAGTCGTTTTTCATACCTGTAGGCAGAGACCAAATAATGAGTTTAAAGCAGGAGGAAGGCAAGGCACAGCAGAAGCTCCCACCCAGGAGTACTTACGAGTGAAGGCTGTGGACACCGCCTTCCACCTGGGCTGAGGATGTTCTCTTCTCAAACTTCAGTTCCCCAGAGTACATCATGGCTCTGAAGAGGAGCAACAAACAGTTGTAGGTAGCCAGCAGCTGACCTTAAAACAGCCTGTCCTCTGTCCCAGCTACCCCAGCTCACCGGACTTGGGTCAAGCTCTTGGCACCAATATCCTGGCATGAGTGCTGGATGCCAGCAATCAAGTAAGGGACAAACTTGTGGATGGACCCCTTGTCCTGCACAGCTCCCGACACTCCCTGGGCAACTTTGATTTTGTCAGCTTCACTGTGGGAAGAAGCAAACAATGGGCAAGGTCACAATGATGAGACTTTGGCAGACCAGGGTAAAGGTGAGGCAGTTGGTCTTCCTGTCTCACCTGAAATAGCGATTCTGGCTGCTAAGATGCTTGTCCATGGCATCAAGAGAACCCATGCCACGGTATTTCTTCAGCCGGATCCCATCAGAGAAGAAGTATTCACCAGGGGCTTCAGTGGTGGCAGCCAGTAGGGAGCCCATCATAACTGTGAACCAAAAAAAGTGCTTGGGGAAAGGCTGAACAGTACAGGGAAGGAATCCCACTATTCTCTAGGGTGCTGGCCCTCACCTGTGGAGGCCCCCAGGGCCAAAGCTTTGGCAATATGACCCACATTTTGAATTCCTCCATCCGCAATGACAGGAACGCCAAACCGACGTGCATACTCTGATACTTTATATACTGCTGTTGCTTGGGGCCTGCCACAGGCCAACACTGTTGACAGACAGCAGAAACAGGGTTAGCAGGGACAAGCACCAGGCCAGTCTCAGTATCCAGGAGCTCTTGGCTACATCTGCACCAGGATGACAGCCTGACTGATGAGTTATCTGGACAGCTGTTGCCCCATCTGCTGCAAACTATACCAACAGCTGTGCTGGCCTCATCCCTGTATATGCACATGCGTGTGTGCAGGGCCCTAGGCAGCCTCAGGCACATGCAGTCCCAGCTAGTAGCAAGATGGGACAGAGTCTCTGTGCAGTTAGTTCCCAGAGCACTGAGTCATATACAACCCTTCTCCCTTGCATAGTGGGCAGCTCAGGCAAGATCAGGGTCATAGTTATATGGAAGGGAAAGCAGGCTCCAGAGTAGGTCCTTGCGCCGTGCCTATCTCCTAAGATGTGGGGAAGCCTAGGTCCTGCTCTGAGCAACCTAGGAAGAGGGAGCTGTGATCACAAGCAGCCCCAGTCATGGTCTGTGCATCTGTTTGCCCTGCCCACCCATCAGCACCACAAACCCTGAGAGCTACAGCTACAGTCAACCAAGCAGCCGGGCAGTGGGCAACTGGGCCGGGCCGGACTTACTATAGCAGCCCGTGACAGTAGAAGGGCATTTGGGGCTGTGGGACTTTATGTCTGGAGGGATCTTGGGAGCCACTAAATAAAACAAACAGACCAGAGTTTAGAGAAGGCGCAGAGCAGGAGCAAGGAGGCCAGGCTAGGCAGGGAAGTAGCATGTGAGGGATGACAAGAACTTGTCTTGCTTCCAGCCATATCACCCCATCCAAGAGGCCTGTTTGGCTCAACAGTTGCACATCTTGGAAAACTCAAGTGTAGTTCCCATAAAAGTGCTAGACCCCAGGGCACACTGGATCTGAAGCCACTCTCTGGGCCCTACTAGTACATAGTCTCACCTTCCTGAGTGATGCAGATGGAGCCACTTCCCATGCCCACCCGAAGGGCATCCACACCTGCATCGATGAGGTTCTTGGCCTGAGCTGCGGTGACCACTACAGTGACAGAAAAAGGAAAGATGTGTAAAGGTCTAGGTGGGAGCCTGGTTCCTCCCATACTGAACCACAGGCACCAGTGTCCCAGTCTTACCATTTCCTCCAATGACTTGGAGATTGGGGTATTTTTCTTTGATATACTTGATCATATTGATCTGGAAAATGGAGTTGCCCTGGGAAGAGTCCTGAGACAGAAAGGAGGTTCCAATTAGCCTGTGATAACAGCAATTTCCCATACTGTCCCATCTTGTTTAGAGAGTAGCTCACCAAAACCACTACATCCACACCAGACTGGGCCAGCAAGTCTAGCCTGTATTTGTCATCCTCATGAGTGCCAATGGCTGCCCCGCACAGTAGCTGCTTCTTGGCATCTTTGGAGGCCAGTGGGTAATCCCGGTTCTTCTTCAGGTCTGTCCGGGCAATGATGGCCACCAGCTCATCATCTTCATTTACAATAGGCAACTTTCCTAAAGGCAGGGCAGGGCATGAATCAAGACCATGAGCATTTAGTTCTAGACACTTTCCCACCTTTAGGACTCACCCTTCTTGCTACGCTGCAAAATTTCATTTGCTTCCTTTAATGTGATGCCTGCAGGTGCTACCACCAAGTCTTCCCTCTTTGTCATGATCTAGGAAGGAGAGTCACAAAGGAGGGCCAGTCAAAGATCAATGCTCTAACTTAGGGGGGCTCCAGAACCACTAAATTCATCCATTTGAATCCAGACCACACATGAGCAATAAAGGCACCAGGACACGAGGGCTGACAGCACATGGGCACTGCCCTGCCTTGGTGATAGCAAACAACAAAACATGAATACTAGCAAGCCCTTCCAAGAGAAAGAGAAGGCACAAACCCTGTAAAGCAGTGAATAACATGGCTGGCCATTCATTGTTTCTGCACAGAAGAGGTCCCAAAAGATGTCCGATGGATAGTAGAAGCCATCTTTCTTCTACCTGGGTAGCCTAGTGCTTACCTATGTTCTATCAATGCTACCTACCTCTTCCAGAAACCGGTCATGCTCCTCCTCCTTGAGAAAATCGATATCCCTCGAGGAGATGATGCCCACCAAGCGGCTCCCCATCCGGCCTGTATCTGTGATGGGAATGCCACAGAAGCCGTGCCGAGCCTTGGCCTCAAAAACATCCCGCACACGATCCTTGGGACTGAGAACCACAGGGTCCGTGATGAAACCCTGCTCGTATTTCTGGAAGGGATAGTGATAAAGTGCCTTGTACCTTTGAACCATTTTCAAATTTTTGGTCTAAAGCACAGGGTTGTGCCTAAAACAACTCAGTGGCAGAACTACAGGATCAACTGCTCTGACCAACATGGGTGAGCTGGAGGCACTGTGCAGTGTGTGCTCTCCCTAGTTTAAGAACCAGGATTTCAGGCCCTTCTCAGTAACTGAAGCCACAGTATGGAGAAATGACTCTAATAGAACAACTCCCCACCTCTCACCCCACTCCACCTCAATGCAATTCCCTGGAGGTTCTGGCCATGATCCATGCCCTTCTGACCTTCACTTTCCGAACTTCATTGGCCTGGAATTCAGGTGTACAGTTGTGGTGGATGAAACCAATACCTCCTGTGAGCTACAAGATGAACAAAACAGAAGACAAAAGATAAAGAGAGGTGTGCTTGCATGTCTTTAAGAGAGACACTGCCTGTCTTCTCCTCCCAAACCCAATGGGGCTCACCGCCATTGCAATGGCCATTCCTGCTTCTGTGACTGTATCCATGGGGGAAGAAACCAGTGGAGTCTTGAGTGTGATCTTTTTGGTCAGAGCAGAAGTCAGATCCTAGAGAGACAAAGGACCACTAGCACAGGAAATTACCCCTTACCCTTCAGAGTGGTACCAGTTTCCCCTAAAAAGGGCTATTATTGGCATGTCAGCCAGAAATATTCCAGACTCTACCCCAGGTCCAATCTGGTGAGAAAATGCAGAGAACAGGCAACTATAGCATCTTAGTCAACCCTGATGTTCAGAACCCAATTTCTGATCATACTCACCACTTGGTCTGCAGTGAAGTCGATGTACCCAGGAAGAATGAGAAAATCGCTGCGGCAGAGGGGAATAAATTGGAAGTAGGAGACTCAGGTTTCTGGCACTCTCAAACTCCCACCTCTATCCTGTAGGCCTCTGAGCATAGAATGGCACTAACTGAGCCCATGTGTCACAGGCAAGGCAGAGGACACAGCAGAGACAGGAAAGGAGATGGGACCTTTGCCGCCACTGAACTGTCATCAGTGCTTCTCGCGGTCTGACAATTTCACGTATCTAGAGAAATGAGCCTCAAGCTAGAAATCCCGAGTACTGCGAAATGGCCCCCCCTAACCGCCACACCAAATCTGTTAAAATCAACCCCGGAGAAATGAGGAATTCCCGAATCTTAACCCCCTACCCAGGCCGAAGAGGGCCCGGCTAAAGCTCCTATCTGGCCTCCTCTCCCGGGGTGCCGCCCCACGCCTCGCCCAGGTGACCCTCCACCCCGGCCCGCACTTGTAGGTGAGGCCGTCCCCGCAGTTGAAGAGCTGCTGTGCCGTGAGCCCGTCATCTGGCACGTAGGATGTGCCCCCGCTAATCAGGTAGTCGGCCATGGCCAACACGGAACACAACCGCGTGGTCAGGAGTACCACGCCGTAGAGGCCTTTGCGGTCTGGAAGTCGCCAATATAATTCCGTCACGGCTTCGCGCGCCCTGATGACGTCAGAACGCAGGACGGAACGACTAGCGTAAGTACGGCATAGGTGGGGGGCGTGGCGGACAGCGCGCATGCGCCCAGCGTTAAATGGCTCTAGCCATCGGTGTTTCCTGCCCCGCCTGCCATGCCCCCAGGACTGCCGCGTTCACACTGTTTCTGGTGCCCAGCCAGACTTCTCCCCAAATAAAGACGCAGTGTTCACTAGCATGTTGAAAAGACGTGCTTGTCATTCTTAATAAACAACTAGAGTAGGAATACATAAGAGAAACAGAGTGGTATCTTTATATGATACACAAGTGTATGTTACAAGAATTCCATCAGGCACTGGAGCCTAAGGTTTAAGGCCTCAATATTAGGCCAAAAAAAAAAAAAAAAAAAAAAAAAATGTATGGTAAAGTTTTTACTTTAACATCTAAAATGTCACTTGTCATAAAGGAGGGTGTAAGAGAAATTGTCTTTAATAAATCATAATTGAATTTCCCCTCACTTTTCTTCCATTAGACAATAGGTTTATGTCTGAAATTGAAGAAAAACATGGTTCCTCTGTGGTCAGTGATGTGTACCAGTCCAGAGTGGAAGCCAGCTAGGGAGACTCCCTGGAGGTCGGTCCATCATTAGTTCCATCTTGAGGAAGGGAAGGGTCCACATTTCGTGTATCAGTCCAAGCCGGTTCCTCAGGCCCGGGATAAAAAAAACAGTAACTTTCTAGGTATCTGGCTTTCACAAAACCTCAAGCCCACCATGGGCCAAGGAGTTTGCTGTAAGTTCTATGAAATGCAAAGGGGGCAAACATTTCTTTTACATTTGAAACAGAAGTAGCCTGAAAGGCTTCATAACTACACCAATATTAAAAAAAAAAAAAAAAGAAGAAGAAGAAAGAAAAAAAAAAAAAAAAAAAAAAAGAGGCCTCTTTTTTAGTGTGAAACTTGTCTGGTTCTTCCTGGCTGGTTTCTCTTGTACCATGGCTGCGGCATCTCAGTGCATGGTGCTTGCGCTGGCCACTGCAATGGTCTCCTGAATTTCTCGTATCACCAAGATCCGGGTCAGCATTTGTCCCATCTGCTCTCGGCTGATAGGCTGGACTGAGTACCAGATTGGGCTGTTGGGGGCCACTACTGGCTCAGGTGTCAGGTAAAAGGTGTCATTCCGGCCTTTCACACTCTGGGGACTGAAGAATATTTATCAGTCAAAGCTTGAGGAAAACCACTGTAACTCCAACCCTCCCAGCACAGCTACTCAACTCCATGTAGTTAACACACACCTCTAGGACCTACCGTCAACACCAGTGACAGTCTGCCTTCTTTTGACCTGCCTTCACACAAGCCAGATGTGATTCACATACCCTGGGTAGCCCTGGGCTTAACTACCAGAAGACATCTCCATTCCACTCCCTACTACTGTCTTCAAGTGATTTGTTCACATTGTTTGATACACCCAGTAATATTGTCACAAATGTAAGGCCCCTGAATGGGCTCACATCCTGACTCATGGTGCTCTTACTCTGTCTCAAGTACTTGGCATACTCTTTCCTTTCAGATTTATTGAAGGGTTACGCTGCCAGGTCTGCACTAGGTGTGACTGTTAAATGAACAAGAGTGAGCGGGTGTGGTGGCTCATGCCTGTAATCTCAGCACTCGGGAGGCTGAGGCAGGAGGATCATTGTGAGTTCGAGACCAGCCTGGCCTACAAAGTGAGCTCAAGGCCAGCCTGAACTGCATAGAGAGACCCAGTCTCAAAAGAAAAAGAAAGAGCAAACAGTGGCTCCTACCTCAGGAGAAGATAGAATTAAAGTTATACAAATACACCCAAAATGGTAAGAGTGGTTAAGCCACAGGGAACAAGCCATGAACTGAGAGATGCTTCCTTGGAAAAGTTGTTTCTATAGAAAGGAGACAGCGGGGCTGGGGGTTTAGCTCAGCCGCATAAGCGCCTGCCTTATAAGCAGGCAGTTGTGAGCTCAATCCCTGGTACCGATAAAAACGAAAAAGACCAAAAAAAAAAAAAAAAAGGAGACAGCATGATGGCCTTGAGTATGAAGGAGCTAGCAGGGCTAGAGAACCCAAGCTAGCACATGAGCGGGGATGGGGTGGGGTGAGGTGGGGTGGGCATACACCAGCAGCTTTCTTAGCCATGTAAACGTTATGCAAAACCACTGAAGGCTTTAATATAAGTGACAGAGTGAGATCTGCAACCAAGAAAGATCCTGATATTGCTGTGAAGATTGCATGCCAAATTTTAGGAATAAGAGAAAGCCAAGGAAAAAAGTTCCCTGCACATGTGAAAAATGGCAATAAGAAATAGCCAGGACCAGGATGCTGCAAAGCAATGTTCACTATGTGATGTGCATCTATGTGTATTCCTACCTTCCCTATGAAAAGATGAAAAGTGACTGTCAGGGACTACTATGATGTCACAGTGCTAGGCATATCACATACTTAGTGAAAGCCACAAAGCTGCTTTTATATTTACTTTTTTGGAGTAATTTTACTGTTGGGACTAGAGAATGCGTCTCTCTTAAAATCTATACACAAATGTACACACATACATAGACACACACACAGAGCCAGTGGATAAAGCTTCCTCACCATTTGAAGAGGTAGAAATCGTAGAGCTTGATGGGACACCTCAATGGATTCTCTGGATTTTCTGTTTGCTCTGCATACATGTCATCTGTAACTATAAAATACCCACCGCCACCATCACAGACCTGGCACCATCTTAGCTCAGGTACAGCTATGGAACCACAGGCATACAACCACCCCCTCTAGGGAATGTTGGGCCGGAGGATGGAAGGGTTGAGGGCTAGGCAGTGACTAGGAAGGAGAGAGGCTATCTTCTCTCCACGGTTTCTCTGCTTCTGTGAAAAATGTTTGAACTTGTTGGCCAGAGAGAAAGAAGAGTGGAGAATTCCAATCTTCATAATCAATACTACTTGGAGCAGGACAACAGCAGAGTGGGACAATAGCAAAGCAGGACAACTAGAATCTATTGTTGCCATCCCTGCTTCCTTCCCTTACCTTTCTGGCCAGTCTGATGTATTCCAAGGGCCTTCAGGTACCGGATACTCGTGCTTTTATCCTTGGGATTAGAGGGGTTCTTCTTTGTTTGTCGCAAGACCTTAGAGAAGGCCAGTTTCATGTGCTGGTCCACTGTCTTCAACAGGAAATACCTGGACCACAAGTGAAAGTAAGGCAGAGGGAGGGGTGCCAGGAGAATAACACAGCTTACTCATCACCCATAATGCTTCCCATGCTCCCCAGACCTGGACAGGTCTGCACCCAAGCACAGTCTCCAGTGGAAAAGCCACACCAAGATGGATGGTAAGGGTTTGCCTCACCAGTCACACACAATGCAGCCAAGTGAAGCTGGGCTTTCTACTCTTGTTAGATGCTTCTGGAACACTTACTTGGTATTAAAGAACATGAGGGTGGTCAGTAGGGTCGAGGGGGAGTGTGCCCCAAGCTGCTTGCACTCCCATAGCATCTCCTCAGTCACATGGCTGGGCAGGACATAGCCTAGAAGGAACATAGTACTGCTATGGCAAGTGGATGGGACAAGATCCTCCAAAGGCACAGGACTGAATCATATCAAATCATCAAATGATCAAATGTTTAAACTGAGTTAACAATGATTCTTTTTTTTTTTTTTTTTTGTACTGGGGATCAAACTCACGACTTCATACTTGCCAGGCAGGCGCTTATGCCGCTGAGCTAAAGCCCCGGCCAGAGTTAACAATGATTCTTAAAACAACCCTAACTGGGTATGGTGGCGCACACCTGTAACTCTAACAATCTAGAGGCTGAGGCAGAAGGATTGTCATGAGTTCAAGGACAACCCAAGCTACATAGTAAGTTCCTGTCCAGCCGTACTACATAGCAAGACCCTGTCTCAAAAAAAAACAACGAAACAAAAAAGCAAAGCAAGGGCCAGAGATTTACTTCAGTGGTATAAGTGTCTGCCTGGCAAGCATGAGGTCATGAGTTTGATTCCCGGCACAAAAAAAGTGCAAAAATTGGGGCTGGGGATTTAGCTCAGCGGCATAAGCGCCTGTGTAAGCAGGCAGTCGTGATTTCGATCCCCGGTACCGATAAAAAAGAAAAAGACAAAAAAAAAAAAAAAAAAAAAAGCGCAAAAACTGTATGTACCAATTTACTATGACAAATGTATTCATTATACATAGAAAACATATACTAAAAAAGAAGCTGGATTTGATGACACACACCTATAATCTCAGCATTTGAGAGGCCAAGGTAGGAGGACGGCCATGAGTTTGAGGTTAGTCTGTGCTAACTAGTGAGTTCAAGACCAGCCTGAACTACAGTGATACTCACGTCTCAAAAAATTACATTGAAACAAACAAACAAAACAGGAAAGAAGAAAAGGAGCTAGGTTATTGTATGAATAAAGTATAAAGAAAAAGGCAGGCATGTTGGCCCATGCCTGTAATCCCAGCATTAGTGAAAGACTGAGGCATGAGAAGTATCATGAGTTTCAGGCTAGCTTGGGCTACAAAAGTTCAAGGCCAGTTTGCAATACATAGTGAGACCATGTCTCAAAAAAATCAAAACAGGGGGCTGGGGATTTAGCTCAGCGGCATAAGCGCCTGCCTTGCAAGCAGGCAGTCATGAGTTCGATCCCCTGTACAGATAAAAAGGAAAAAGATTAAAAAAAAAAAAATCAAAACAAGAGCTGGGTGTGGTAGCGCACACCTATAATTCCAGCATTTGGGAAGCTGGGGCAGGAAGATCATTGCAAATTCGAGACCAGCCTGGGCTACAAAGTGAGCTCAAGGCCAGCCTGAACAGCATAGTAAGATCCTGTCTCAAAAAGACAAAACAAAACAAAACAGAATGGCAGAGATAGGAAAGGAGAAGAGAAGCCAAGAGCAATGCAGGGGCAGGGGAAGAACTGATAGGCATAAACTGTTACAAGTCATAACCAATTTAAATATATGGACTTACTATGGCCCTGACTCAGATGAACTCAAATAATGAAATACACGTGACAGTCAGAAATCTGAACAAGGATAGATTCTGGTGACATGAATTATTTTGAGTTTTTTTTAAAAAAGTATAATGGCACTGGGATATACCAAAGCATACATGAAAATAGGTAAAGTGCCTTGAATGTCCTTCAAATTAATACAAGAGGAGGGAACAACACAGTAGTACACATGAAATAAATATTGTCATGGACAATGGGTATCTGGTGGTTTATTAATTTATCCTGTGCTTTTTTACATATGCTTAAAATTTCCATAATAAAAAGACTGAGGGAATTTAGCTCAGTGGCATAAGTGCCTGCCTTGCAAGCATGAAGTCCTGAGTTCAATCCCTGGTACCAAAAATGAAAACAAAAACAAAAAAATCCCTGGTACAAAAAAAAAAAAAAAAAAAAGACTGAAACATTGAACTTTGCACATCCATATTGTTTTTTGTTAACCTGTTTTTTTTTTTTTTTGTTTTTTTACTGTTTTGTTACTGTTTTTTGTGTAACTCAGGCTGGCGTTGACTGCCTCATTCTCCCAAGGACTACAGTGCTAAGACTATAACATCTTTATTCACAATTACCAAAACTTAGAAGCAGCCAAGTTACAATGTTGTTCAATGGAACTGATAAACAAACTGGAACATCCATAAAATGCAAAAAAAAAAAAAAAAAAAAAAAAAAAAAAAAAAAAAAAAGGAAGAAGGAACAGGAGGAAGAAGAGGAGAAATGACCTATTAAGCCAAGAAAAGACAAACAGAGGCATTAAATGCATGTTGCGAAGTAAAAGAAACCAATCTGAAAAGGTTACATACTAAATTATCCAAATATAGGACATTATAGCTGAGCACGGTGGTACACACCCATACTCTCAGCACTCAAGAGACTAAGGCAGGATGATCACCCTGAGACCAACCTAGGCTGCCTAGTGAATTACAGACCAGCCTGAACTATACAGCAAGACTTCTCAAAAACCAAATCCATATTTATATGATGCATATTTATATGATACATATATATATATATATATATATGTATGAGATATTCTAAAAATGGCAAAACTATGGAAACAGGAGAAAGATCTGTGGGTACCAAGAGCTCAGATGACTAAGGAAAGTAGGGATCAAAATTTGGAGAAAAGACAATTTTTGACTCAACACATTTTGTACTGATAGAACAATCCTGAGTATATGTCTGCATACATTTATCACAAGGCACAGAATATACAGCACAGTGAGTTATAAAGAAAATTACTTTAGGTAACACTGTGTCACGTTAAAGTAATACAGCCTTTATTTTTCTAGACAAAAGCTATGTAGTTTAGGCTCATCACCAACTTGCAGCAATCTACCTGTCTTGTTCACCCAAGTGCTGAGATACAGGTGTGGGTCACCATGCCCAGTAAATTCAAGTAACATTTTAATGACAGGGGAAACTATGTGAGAGTGCTTATGCAAAGGAGCATACAAAATTATCTGTACTTCTCAATTTTTCTGGACATCTAAAGCTGCTCTAAAAAAATTAACACTCAGACTAGGGAGGGATTTCAATGGCAAAGTACCTGCTAACATGTGCAAGGTTCTGGGTTTAATCCTAAGTATCTCAGGGGAAAAAGTCTACTACAAACAAAAATTAGTTCTAAATCAGATCTTCTACTGAAAAGTTTATGTTCTAACAAAAAGAGACTGCTTGTGACTAAAGAAAAATTATGTTACTGTACAAATGAAATATTGTTTTGTTTCTTGTGGCTGACTTTTAAAGACAGGATTTCATTATGTAGTTCAGGCTGGCTTTGAACTCACTAGTTAGCACAGGCTTACCCTGAACCAACAGTGATCTTGCCTCAGCCTCTTCAGTACTGAATCTATAGGTATGAGGTACCATTTATGGCCTGGCTCATAATTCTTTTTTTTGGTTTGGTCTGGTTTGTTCTTTTGAGACAGGGTTTCACTTTGCAGTTCAGGCTAGCCTTGATTTCACTTTGTAGCTCAAGCCTGGCCTCAACTCCTGCCTCAGTCTCCCAAGTACTATGATTACTGAAGGATAACACCACATCCAGCTCAGTAAGTGTAATGATTCTATTTTTTTTTTCTTTTGAGATGTGGTGTTGCTCTGATACCTAGGCTGGCCTTAAATTTCACAACTCAAGTGATCATCTACCTCAGTCTCTCCAGCAGCTGGATAAACTCTTGTGCCTATGTTTCACATTTTAATGGGAAAAACAAGAAAAACAACAACAACACATAGTAACTCCCCAACTAGTTCTGTATACTCGTATCCTTCCCATACCAGGACCAACAGGAGCCTCTGGTAAGGACAGTGGCATAGAGGACAACACCTGCTGGGATTTTTAACCCTTTTGCCTGTACACCACAAACGCAGCCAGCCACAGAAGTTGCCCATCTTTTGAAAAGCTAAATGGAAAAGAAATCCAAAGACAAAGGAAATTCTTACCAAGTGGAGTGACCCGGGGTTGAACATCCTTCAAAACTTCATGTAGCCACTCCGTGAATCGAACATAGTAAAGATCAGAGAAAATGTCATCTACCCTTCCATTTTCAAAAAGATACTAAAAGAAAACAAAAAATCAACCAAAGTGATTAGTATTTAGCAAAGGTTTTAGGTACTTTTCTGCCAGTGCCAGCACCTCTTCCTACTAATTCTCCCTCTCAATGAAGGATCAAAGGATGCCACCAATTCAAAACTACCTAGCCTGTGAAATTTCCATCGTGCCCTTCATAGTATGTGAACTGATCCATAACAGTGAGGCAGATTTTGTTTGTCACTCCTGACCCCCAGTACTGGAGACTGAAGCCAGGGAATGCTAGCTACATCCCAATTCCTTTTTCCTTTTATTCATTCGTTGTTTTTTTTTTGATATAGGGTTTTGATACACACTTCAGACCATCCTTCAACTCCCTATTCTCTTGCCTCAGCCTCTCAAGTGATAGGATTACAGGCATGCACTACAATAGCCAGTTCACTTATTTTTTTGGTACTGGGGACTGTGCACAGGGCCTCTATACTGAGCTACCTCCCCAGCCACTCACTTTAAATTTCTGTTATTTGAGACAAAGTCTCACTAAATTGCTTGACTTTGCAATCTTCCTGTGTCTGACCCTCAGCATGCCGGGATTAGAGCCTGTGTCACCATTTCCCAGCTATTAATTTTACTTTGTTTTTTTGAGACAGGGTCTCAATATGCAGTTCAGGCTGACCTTGAACTCACTCTATAGCTTATGCTGGTCTCAAAATCACACAATCCTCCTGCCTCAGCCTCCCAAGTGCTGGAATTATAAGCATGTACCACCATGCCCAGCTATTTTCTTTCTTTCTTTTTTTTATGGTGCTGGGGAGCAAACTCTCAATCTCATACTTGCCAGGCAGTCACTTATGGCACTGAGCTAAATCCTCAGCCCACTAACTATTAATTTTACATTTTTTTTTTTTTTTTCATTTTGTGGTGCTGGGTATCAAACTCAGGGCCTCAGACATTCTATGCAAACCTATTAGTGAGCTACAACCCCAAGTTGTCCTTATAGAGTCCAGGCTAGTCTCTAATTCACAATCCATCAGGCTCTAAAGCAGCTGAGATTACAACTGTGCACTACACATTGCCATGCTTGATGTTTTGTTTTGGTTTCCACTGGCTCCCAACATTTTTTTTAGGACAGGGTTTTGCTGTGCAGTTCAGGCACTGAAACTCTGCACTGAGCTATCTCATCAGCCCTTTCTGGATACAAGGCCTCACCAAGTTGCTGGGGCTTATCTTTTATTTATCTTAGCTATCTATCTATCTATGGTGGTATCAGGGATGAAACTCACTACTGCACAATTGCCAGGCAGACACTTATGCCACTGAGCTAAATCCCTGGCCCCTCTGAGGCTTAACCTGAACATGCCCCTTGTCTCAGCCTCTCAAAGTGCTGAATTAGTAGTGTACATCACACCACAATGCCTGTTTGTACCTAGACTTGAGACAGGATTTCTCTATGCAATTCAGACTGGCCTTGAGCTCACTTCGTAACCTAGGCTGGTCTCACTCGCAGAGATCCTCCTGCTTCAGCCTCCCGAGTGCTAGTATTACAGGCATGAGCTACCATGCCTGGCTGACATAACTTATTTTTGCAGATCTGAGAAACAGAGGCAAGCAATGCTAGAGAAAATACCACTGTATTATATCCCTAGCCCCCCAGCGATATTTTTAGTGATTATATTTCACTCAAGCAAGGCATTGTCTTCTGGTAACAAAAAATGGTGAGTAGACTTAAGGGCCAGTCCTTTATGAGGTACTGCGCAAGTTAACAACACCTGGATATCTTCTAACTTTTGGGCTTGGTTTCCTTGTCAGTAAATAGGGAGGATTCTGTCTTCTCTGACTAAGGAAACACTGGAGGATGACAGAATATGTAAGGTTGTACACATGCACCTGGGTAAGGATCAGAAAGAAAGAGGAATAAACTAGGAGGCAGACTTTTCTCTGACCAGGCAAAAAGTGAATGCGTGGCACAGGACAGTAATCTCAGCACTCAAAAGGCTGAAGCAACAGGACTGCTGTTGAGTTTGAGGTCAGCCTGAACTGCATAGCAAATCCTGTCTCAAAAAAAAAAAAAAGAAGATTCCCAATCAACAAGCTCTCTGCAGTCATACTGTGGGATGCTTTTCAAAGGCCAAAATACCAAGAAATTTACCTCTGTTCCCCAAAACTGTTAGTCTACATGTTCCTACATTATGATTTTTACCTTAGAGAGTCTAAAACGTAACTATATTTTTCTGTTTGTTTTGTGTTAATACAGGGCACAATGAAAAGAAAAGCTGTATGCTAGCATCAGATATTTTTTGGTGGCATTTTGTTTTGTTTGACACAGGGTCTTGCTATGTAGCTCAGGGTGGCCTTGATCTTACTATATAGTCTAGGCTTACCTGGAACTTGTGGTGATCCTCCTGCCTCAACCTCCCAAGTGCTGAGACTATAGGCCATGAGCCACTATATCTAGCCATACCTTTTTGTTACTTTTTTTTTTTTTTTTGTCTTTTTCATTTTTATCGGTACCAGGGATCGAACTCACGACTGCCTGCTTGCAAGGCAGACACTTGAGCTGCTGAGCTAAATCCCCAGCCCCCATACCTTTTTGTATAAATTACTTTTCCCCTCCTCCAGTATTGTGAATTGAACTCAGGCCTTCCCACTGAGTTATAGCCCCAGCCTCTTTGCCCCTTTTCTTGAGACAAGCTATCATTATGTAGTTGAGGCTGTCCTATAACTAAGTAGCCCAGGATGGCCTCAAATGTGTAGCAATTCTCCTGCCTCCACCTCCCAGAGTGCTGAGATTATATTATGCTAGATGCTCCTCCACATCTAGCCCATTTTCATTTTTGGAGACTAGGTCACACTGAGTTAGTAAATTGCTCTGATTGGGCTTAAACTTGCAATTTTCCTGTCTTAGCCTCCCAGTCTTCTGGATTACAAGTCTGTTTATAACACCCTATGCTTACTTCACAAAAGAAATGAATACTTTTTTGAGTGAAAAAATTAAATACCAAACATTTAACAGAAGTTTCTCCAAAGGTTAGGATTATGGATAATGATTGCCTACTATTTTCTAAAATGAACATGAAGGGGCTGGGGATTTAGCTCAGTGGCATAAGCGCCTGCCTTGCAAGCAGGCAGTCATGAGTTCAATCTCTGGTATCGATAAAAAGAAAAAAGACAAAAATAAATAAATAAAATAAAATGAACATGAAGATCTTTGCAATTCAAAACAAAATGTTTACTCTAAACTTCATTATATAACTCACAGAGAATTTTATTTTACCATGTCCTTTAACTAAGTTGACTAATCAGCAACACCCAATGGGAACACAGCTCACATACATTCCTGTGATAATCTGCTTCCTACCTTTTGAATACACAGGAAAATATAGTAGAGCACATCAGGGTCATAGGGTTCACCTTCTCCATTTCGAGCTTCCCGTGTCATTAGACACAGCCCATAATTCAACTCAGCCACAGCAGAGGAGATAAGATCTTCTTGGAATCGCAGCAGTTGGCGCCCTGTGACACAATTCCCAAAGGTGATTAGGGAACCTGGCAACAGTTGCCTATTTATAGGCTGATATTCCTAAAACCAGAGTACATACAGTTCAGAGCAGTGCTGGGCTAAGAATGACTGCTTATGTTTATAATCAGAACTCCCTCACTACATTAACTAATCACATTTGCTATTTTACCACCAGTTTACTTCTCATAATCCTTCCTATTTCACACACAGAATCTCAGAAATTATCATTAGGACCAAGAAATGAAAAGAAGAAAAAAATCAGAATCCACTTTGTACAATATAAGCAAGTTTATAAGCCTAATGCCAAAGAAGGTCCTTGAGTATACTCACTAATCTCTATTTCCTCCCAGAAGTTACTCTGCCTATTGAGGGGCTAGCTGAATTCTAGAAACCTCTGTTGACATAAATGCACACTTCCTGCTCCCTGTCTCAGGGTCTGGTTTGCTTGTTGCTAGTCATGATGTAGCTTAGCATTTCAGACAATGTTCTGTAGGCCTAGAGTCAAGGGCTATCAGCTTCTTCTTATTCTGTCCTCTTGTTACTGACATTGTGGACCCATTTCATTTACCACTCCCACCCAACACTCACTCCCAATGGGCGCCAATCTGTTCTGAGCATCCTTCTCCAGTTCAGCATTCTTGGTCTGGGCCCAGTTTTTCCATACTTCAAGCCCTTCTTCTGGTTTCAAAGAATTTGGAAGCAGAAGTTCTGGAGAAGGCTGTGGCTGTGACTGTGGTTCAACTTCAGCAACTTGGACAGTCTGAGCCTATGAAAAAAAAAAAAAAGTAAGTCAATACTGTTTTTGCATTAGGTCCTGGGGCAAAACTCCCAGAAAAAATTACTTAAGGTTCACTTAATTAAAAAAAGAAAGATTGTTGCTGACCTGCTTTGAAGAAACTTTAAGAGTTCTTAAATTTCAAGGATAATAAAAATAGCGCTACATAGTTGCAGAGTGAAATGCTTCTCATCCTTAGATGGACTTCTGAATGTCTTAAAAGTACTAAAACCCAGGGCTGCAATGTTTCACGAGGGTAGAATCCAAGTATCAGACTTTTTTTTTTTTTTTTAAAGCACTACTGATTTATTTTACCCTGGGCCCATCGACACAGTGCAGCTGCAGTCAGTCTTCTTAAACTCTCCAAGTAAAAAATGAACTCCAGTGTCATCACTAGCTTAATGAACTACTCCTCAAACGTCAATGTGCAAATAAATCACTTACTTGGGAACTTTATTAAAATGTTTATCCTGAGGCTGGGGATTTAGCTCAGTGGCATAAGCGCCTGCCTTGCAAGCAAGCAGTTCGATCCCCGGTACCGATAAAAAGGAAAAAAGACAAAAAAAGTTTATCCTGATTATAACGGTTTAGGGGTGATCAAAAGATTCATTAACAAAATTCAGTAGTACAGCAGGATACAAAGTCAACATTCAAAAGTTAAAAGCATTCAGGTATACAAACTCACTGAGAAAGAAATTAGGGAAACAGCACCTTTCACAATAGCACTGAGAAAAATGAAATAACTTAGAAAGGGATCTAATTAAAAAATCAATTGAATGAAATAAAAAACCTTTATATTGAAAACTACAGAATTCTGAAGATGGAGATTGAGGATTTAGCTCAGTGGCATAAACACCTGCCTGGCAAGCACAAGGTGCTAAGTTTGAGCTCTGGTACCAAAATATCAATAGCATACCACAAAGAACTAGATAAAACTACCCTAAAATTCCTCTGGAACCAGAAGAGATCTAGAATAGAAAAAATAATTCTAGGCAACAAAGGCAAGGCAGGGGTCATCACAATCCTCAACTTGAAATTATACTACAGAGCTACAGTACCATGACAAAAACATCATGGCACTGACCCAAAAACAGACTTCCGGATCAATGGAGCAGATTAAACATTCAGAAACAACTCCATATGGTGGCACACCATATGGAGCAATTGGGAAGCTGAGCTGGAATTGTAGTGAGTTGAAGCCTGGGCTACCTAAGTGAATTCAAGGCCAGCCTGCACTACATAGTGAGATCCTGCTTCAAAACAAACAAACAAACAAACAAACAAACAACTCCAAACATATACAGCTACCTCTATCTTTGAGAAAAACACCAAACACCTTCACTGGAAAAAAGAGCCTCTTTAATAAATGGTGCTAGAAAAACTGGCTTTCCATATACCAAAGATTAAAGTTAGACCTGTATCTCTCACCATGCATAAAGCTAAAATTGAAATGGATCAAAGATCTAAAATTAAAACTAAAACACTTAATCTGCTGTATGATAGGATACATAAAACTCTTGAAGATATATGTGTAGGCAAAAACTTTATGAACAAAATTTTATTGCACAGGAAATATAAAGAATCAACAAATGACCAGCACTTGGGAGGCTGAGACAAGGGGATTGCCACAATTTCAAGGCCAGTTTGGGCTACATAGTGAGTTCAAAGCCAGTGTGGGTTACAGAGTGAGACCATGCCTAAAAAAACACATAGATTCCTCAAAACACTAAAAATAGAGGTCCCATTTGAGTCAGCTATTCCCATTGTAGGTATCTTCCCCAGACTTAAAAGCATTACACCACAGTGTTATATGCACACCCATGTTTATAACAGCATAATCTGTAATAGCTAAATCTTAGAAACAGCTTCTATGGCCATCACAGGATGAATGGATAAAGAAAATATGAAGTTTTTCTGATACAAGGTCTCACCATATTTAGACTAGCCAGGGACTCGCATCAATTCACTTGCCTCAATCTCCTTATAGTTGTGTACCACCACACTTGTCTGAAACTGTGGTTTTTATATACCACAGAGCACCATTCTGCCATAAAGAAGAATAAATTTGGGAGACATGGTGGTACATGTCTGTAATCTGAGCACTCAGGAAGCTAAGGCAGGAGGATCACAGTGTTTACAGCCAGCAGGGGGTACACAGTGAGTTCAAGACCGGCGTGGAACACATGGGGAGAGCCTGCATCATGCGGGGGGGGGGGGGGGATAAACTTGAGACATTTTTAGGTAAATTGATGTACCTAGAATGTAATTTTAAGTAAAATAAATTGGACATATATGCTTAAATACTGTACTCTCTTACGTGAGAAACCCAAAGGGTAAGTAAGAACTGAAAAGGAATACAGATATTGAGTAGGGAAAAAAATGTTAAAATGGAAAGGGGAACAAGAAAGGGGGAAAAGAGAAAGGAAGAAAGGGAAGAGGGGTAAAAAATAAAGGAAAAGAATATGAATAAAGTTTTGTAAATGGAGAGGGGAAGAAGGATTGAAGGAAAGAGTGGGTAGTAAGGAAAAAAAGAATTATTATGCCCAGATATAAATTCTCTATGATGGATATGATCATTATGTATGTCAAGAGTGTACAAACAAAATTAACTTTTTTAAAAAACAAGGGAGTGGTAGCATTTTTTTTTTTTTGTAATGTAGCAAAGTTTTACATTTATTAAAGCCAGGAAAAGAAATAAGACTCTGCAAAGTGAGTTCGGGCCAAGTAAAAGTAAGCAAAGAAAGTATACTCTACAGTTTGAGAGTAGAATACTGTGAAATACAGTCTGGTATATTTCTTACAAGCTCTCAAATAAAATCAGGATCACTAGTCTGCATTTTACATTTTTTTTTTTTTTTTGGTACTAGGAATTGAACTCAAGTCCTAGCACTTGCCAAGTCGGAACTGTGCTGCTGAGCTATATCCCCAGCTCCTGCATTTCCCACTTATAGCATCAAATGTCCTCAGCAGTGATTCTTAAATTTAGCTGCAACTTCAAGTCATCTGGACTGAATTCTTTTGGGGGTGGGGGTGGTTTGAGATAGGGTCTTGTTATGCAGTTCAAGCTGGCTTTGGGCTCACTTTGTAGCGCAGGCTGGTCTCAAACTTGGAAGGATCTTCCTGCCTCAACCTTAAGTAGTGGGATCACATGAGTGTGCCACCACAACTGGCTTTAGACTGATTTTTTAAAATTTTTTTTGCGGGGGCTGGGGATTTAGCTCAGCAGCGTAAGTGCTCACCTGCCAAGCATGAGGTCATGAGTTCGATCCCCGGTACCAAAAAAAAAAAAAAAAAAAAAAAAAAAAAAAAAAAAAAATCTGTATCTGATACTCAGTAAACCAAATTTAATTTTCTGTACCTGACACAAGTAGCCCTCCATCCTTATAAAAATTCTCTACCCTAGACTTTACATGCTTAGAGCCTCATGAGATTAACAAACTTACAATGAATATTTGAATAAAAAGGTTAATTGACATCTAATCTTAATGATTTTCTAAAGAGGCCCCTAGACACTCAAATATTAAAACTCCAATGTTTGGGCTGGGGATTTAGCTCAGCGGCATAAGCGTCTGCCTTGCAAGCAGGCAGTCGTGAGTTCGATCCCCGGTACCGATAAAAAGGAAAAAGACAAAAAAAAAAAAAAAAAAAAAAAAACTCCAATGTTTTCAATTTCCAGTCGGACAGGATAGCATTCACCTGTAATCCCAGCATTCTGGGAGTATAAGGTAGGAGGATCAAAAGTCCAGCCTGAGCAATTTATTTATTTATTTCTGGGTACTGGTATAGGTGCTGTGCCACTGAGCAACTAATTGAGACCCTGTATTAAACAAAAAATTCAAAAAAGGACTAGCTTCAGATTTAATCTTTAATACCAAAAAAAAAAAAAAAAAAAAAAAAACCTACAGATGAAACATTTCTTGAGTAGGGGGTTCCAACTTTAAAGGTAGAGAAAATTAATACATTTTCAAGGAATGTGCTTGGCCTATTAAAGATAATGACTTTTCAAAAAAATTCAATTCAAATTATACAAAAGCCCTACCTGCTCTTACACACTGATTCAACAAACATTATCTGCAAAGTTCTGTGTTAGGCTTAGGAATACAGAAATGCATAAACCTTCATCTGGGATAAAGATCTGACTGAAATGGTAGTGATGTGAAGAAAAATCTTGGCATCAGTTTCTCCTCAGTTCCACTGGTTAGTCTAGAAGTCAACAAAAACTCATTACTCCAAAGCAGTTGCATTAAATGCTGCTCATCATGGACCTCTCCTCAAGGCAACTGAACTCAGGGCCAGTAGAACAAATGGCACAGAGCCTCTCAGAATGAGCTATGTTTAAGCCCTTGCACACAGCCCAAGTCTCCCTTCACTAGTTAACAATTTCTCAGCACATCCAGCAGCGCAATTTCTACTACTCCATTTGACAAAAGGGAATTGCTGTCACCAATTTTTTCTTGGTCAAAGCTAAATCTATAGGTAGGCCTTGGAATTCTTGCCCCTTTTTTTGTTGCACTATTAGGAACTAAATCCAGGGCCTTTACATTGCCAGTCACACACACACACATCCTCTGCCCCTTTCTGAGACATGGTCTGGCTAACTAACTTGTTCAGGCTGATCCTCCTGGTTCAGCCTCCTACAGACTGAGGTAATAGGCATGCATCACTATGCATAACTTCTTGCGCTTTCTTCTTTTTGACCTGACACTCATTTTCTAATTCTAAAGTTCTTTGACCTTTGATCTCCATGCTGCATTCTGTCCAACCCCTATTCTGGTTACCATAGAAATAAACACTGTCTTCTTGTTTATCCCATTGGTAACTAGCACCATCAGCACCATTCCTGGTTCCTCCCAGTTAAAATTTACTATCATGATGACTGTCATGCTGCTGTATGTTTGTACTCTGAGCTGCTCAGGGGACTGAGGCAGGAGGATTACAAGTTTGAGGCCAACCTGTGCAACTTTTGTGAGCCTTCATCTCAAAATAAAATGATAAAGGCTGGATACTTGGTTCAGTTCTAGAGTAACTTGCCTGACATGCATGAAATCTTGGGTTCAATCTTGAGTAATGTGATAGAAAAAAAAAAGTACTGAAATGAGAGGGTCACATGATTTTAGTTTTATAGCCAACAAAACCACTCACAATATTCTGTTGTACTCTATTCATCGTTGTTTTTTGTGTTTTGTTTTTTTGGTACTGGGGATCAAAACTCACGACCTCACACTTGCCAGGCAGGTGTTGTGCCACTGAGCTAAAACCCAGGTCCATCTGATCATCCTTCTGACATCATACCCTCCTAGACCTCGTCAGTCTACTGGGCATCTATCTGCCTTGTGTTTATCTCTGCAAGTCCCTCAAATATTTGTCAACCCTGGGCTCTGCTTTAGACACTTTAACGTCAGCTACACATTCTCCATTCTCCCTGGTGAATCTTACCCAACCTTTCCAGATTAGATTTCCATGTTTGTGGAAGTGACTGCCAACTATGCAACTCTAAGAACGTATCAGTTGTTACTCTACATCTCCAATTGAACATTTCACAGCACCTTAAACTAATGTCCAAAGAGAACACCCATCTTCTGATCCCAAACCTATTCTCTGCAGAATGCCCTCCTAAACTTACGCACCTGACCGGACAAGTAGGCAGGGGCCATACCATGTGGGGCAATGCTTTTCTACTGGCTTTTTGGCAGCATTCTGTAATGCCTCTACCCACCAAATGTCAGTAACTTTCTTTCTTTTTTTTTTTTGCCTTTCTCATTTTTATCGGTACCAAGGATCGAACTCACGACCGCCTGCTTGCAAGGCAGGCGCTTATGCCGCTGAGCTAAATCCCCCCCTTTTTTAATGTCAGTAACTTTCCTAAGCATCTTGGTGACCAAATATTCTTTTACTATGTCCAAATGTCCTAGCAAGGATGAGAGTTCAATTCCTGGTTCCAAATGTCTACTGATAGATGTGAGCAAGAGTGATACAGCCCAGGTAGACTGGGCTGGAGACATAGCTCAGTGGCACAAGTGCCTGCCTGCCAAGCCTGAGGTTGTAAGTCTGACCCTCGGTAACAAAAAAAAAAAAAAAAAAAAAAAAAAAAAAAAGAAAAAAGAAAAAAAAGCCGGAGGAGGAGGAGAAGGTGAAGGAGAAGAAAGAGGAGGAGGAGGAGGAAGAAAATTACTGATACAGGTAGGGCTTTGTACACTATGCAGTATGGTTTCCTTAAACAGCATGGGAGACCATGAAGACCTGGGAAATGATGCAATCTTACATTTTAATAGCACTGTTAGGGCCAAGGACATAGCTCAGTAGTACAGTGCTTGCCTAGCACATGTGAGGCCCTGGGTCCCATGCTTAATGCTTCACGAAAAAAAATTTTTCTTTTTGTTCTATGGAGAATGGATTAAAAAGCAAAAGTAGAAGCATATGGTTGTGGACTGGACTAAAGTAATGGCACTAAGGGAGACTTAAGAGAACATAAGAAGTCTGGTTGTAGAACCAATGTGGTGTACTGATAAAATGGCTCCAAAGAATAAAGAAAGTAACCTCAAGGATGACTCCTGGTTTTGTTGTGGTTTGGGATGAAGGATACTAGGACTAAAACCAGGACCTGTACACTGAGCTACATTCCCAGTTCTTTTATTTTTTGAGACAGTTTAGCTGGCTGCCCTGGTTGGGCTCAAAGCTCCCATCCTTCCATCTCAATGGCTCCAAGTGCTGGGATTCCAGAACAAGCCATCACATTAGACTGACTTGTGGGCTTTGGGCTTAACTGGGAGATGGTGGTGCTAATTTGTGAGACAGGAACGCTTTTGACAGTAGTCTTAATAACAGTAAGAGATAAGTTAGTAAATCTAAGTAAATGATATGTAAGTAGTCAAATGTGTAGAAAGGGTCCTAAAAGGGAAAAAAATCTAGAAATGTTTATGTGTGTGTTAACATCTCCTTAGGGGTTAAGAGTCAGAGTCCCGAATCAGCCTGTGTAAGGCTGAACCCTAACTCTAGTATTTTCTAACCATGGCATTTGGCTTCTCATTTAACTTTTCCTACACGTCAGTGTCCTAATACTGCATGAGGTTGGTGTGAAGAGAATTTTCTTACAAGTACTGGGGACGGAAGCCAGGGCCTCTGCACTGAGGTACACCCCCATACACTCTTACACCCATCCATCCATTATGTTTGTTTGTTGCATTTTTGAGGCAGGGTCTTGCTATGCAGTTCAGGGTGGCCTTGAGCTCATTCTGTAGGCCAGGCTGGTCGAAAATTTGTAATGATCCTCCTGCCTCAGACTCCCAAGTGCTGGGATTATAGGCATGCGACACAACATCCACGTTCTTATTTTGATTTTTTGAGACTGTGTGTCACTATATATTTCAACTTAGCTTCCAACTCATGGCAATCATCCTGCCTCAGGCTCCAGCATGCTGGGACTACAAGCATGTGACACCACACCTGGCTCAAATATGATCTCTTGTACTGTATACTGCTGTGAGATAAAAACAAACAGGCCTGTCCATTTTGGCCACTGTCACCAGACAAGAACGGACTCAAGTAAGAATCAAAAAGAAAACTGAAACTATATTACCAGCTACTCAGGAGCCAAGGCAGGAAGAGCCCAGGATGTGGCAGCTTTTGGGCAACAAATCAAGACCCTTTCTGAAAACAAAAGAAAAATGCATGCAAATGGAGCCAACTTGTGCAGATCATGTTTCTGAGACCTGTGAGAATAAAGTATAATAGATAAATGGGGTAACATATGGAAGAGGATGCCAAAAGAGGAAGGTTTGACCACAAATCTGGTTTTAAAGAAGATTAGAACACTTTCATAAAAAGTATGGCCTTCTCCACGCCTCAAACCACAACAGTAGAGGGAACATATTATGTCATTAGCTTTTTTAAACGCCTATCACAGCACAACTGTCTTCTGCATGGTTTGTAAGTGGTCCAAAGGTGGTGTCTTTTTCATCTCAGTTCCCCTCACACAGCTCCATATAAATGTCCTAGCCAGTTTCTCCTTGATGAAATCAATTCTATATAACTCTTACTTCATTTCTCTTGTCACCAGGACTTGAGAAATCCATAAATTTCAGACTTTCTACTAAGACAGACCCACATCAACTCCATTTTGAAAAGACAACTCTTCATTCTCCATACTACTTTCCCACTATTTTCCTCTCATGTTGCCTTAGGATGTATCCTTTTAGAAACACATTTATCTATCCAGTCTTCCACTGATTTAAGCGATAACTTGTTTAAACCTTTTCCAAATTTACCTGTGTATATCATTTTTTATTATGCTGTCTTATCAATAATTCAAAACAAGAGAAATCATTAAAATTCTTATTTTAACAACTAGACTCTGAGATACCTGAAACAAGGACTACTTCATTTTATTTTTAGGCATTACAAAGATATTTAGCAGGTCTTTAACAAAGTCACCTAAAAGGATATACTGTTGTTGCTAGGAAACTAGCCTTTGCTTAATGGATAATGATCCATGAGTTTCTAAGTGTGGTCCCTCATCTAATTTATTTGTGACTGTTCCCTCACTTGCAGTCCCAGAAGCCTACCACTATCAGTCTCACAAGACCAGAGGGTCAATATCCTACTTTTTGTGTGTGTGAGATAGGGTCTTACTATACTGCTATATAGCCAAAGGCAGCCTCAAATTCATAATTTTCCTGCCTCAGCCTCCCAAGGGCCGAGATGATAGGTTAAGTTCTACCACACTCAGGTCCCATTTATTTTGTATGATTTTTTTTTTTTGCAGGGCTGAAGACTGAATACAGGGACATGCCTCATGATGTTAACTAAGCAAGAACACTACCACTGAGCTTTTATAGTGCCCGTGCCCTTTATATCCTTTTCCAAAGATCTGTTATACAAAGAATTGGAAAGTCTGTTAACAATATAAGAAGATTAATCTATTCACACTCTTAAACTACCTTTAAAATTACTCGGTAGGATGGTACATGTCTATAATCCCAGCATTCGGGGGGCTGAGGCAGGAGGATCATTAAGCATTTGGAGGCCAGCCTCGGCTACACACTGAGTTTAAGGGCAGCCTAAACTACACAGTGAGACACTGTCTCAAAAAACAAAAACAAAATCAGGCATAGTGGTTCACCCTTGTAATCCCAGCATCTGGCACAAGAATACAAATTTGAGACCAGCCTGGGCTACAAAGTAAGCTCAAGGCCAGCTTGAACTGCAGAGCAAAACCTTATCTCAAAAAGACAAACAAAAACAAAACAAAACAAACAAAAACACCCCAAAATGACCAATTAGAAAAAATCTCAAGTAAGTTGAAAGCTAAACATCCAACACAATTCTATTTTGGCAATTTTTTTTTTATAATTCTAAAATTTTAAAACAAAAAGGAAAAATTCAATGCTGCCATGTCAGAAAACACAATTAATCGGGGATTACCTTTTTTTTTTAGGATATACCTCCTGCTTTTAGAACTGCTTCTATTCCTTTCCCAAATCCTAAATACTTTATAAGACTAACACCATGCCAGTAAAGGCCAGAGATTTTAGCAAGTTCTGTTAGATTTAGCCCTGCAGGAAAAAGATACCCTACAGATGTCTCACTTACTGAACAAGTAACCTGGAGCTGCTGCTGCTGCTGCTGTGGTGGCGGTGGTGTCTGTTCTTGGGGGGTCTGCTGTTGTGGCTGCTGCTGGGGGTCCCATATATGGACAGTCTGAGCTGTATTCTGGTACGTGCCTGCCACAGCCTGCACAGCTACTGGAATGTGGATGTTGCCATTCATAAACTGTGCTGGAAAGAGAGAGTTTGCAAGGGTCTGCACTACTTCTTCATGGGAGTTTTTCACTACAGACGTGGTGCCCACCATCTTCTCCTTGTCATCCTCCAGCTTTACAGCTGCCAGGGCCGTGGGTGAGCCACTGACGTGAACTGCATTGTAGGCTTCCTGGGGAATGGCAATGTGGGTAATGCTCTGCTGTTGAGGGTCCCCCCGGGGCTGGGCAGAATAAACAGGGATGGTCCAAGTTTCTCCTGTAGGGCTAGTAATGGTCCCAGTGGCACTGTACAGGTGGGCACTGTCTACTGTCAGCAAGTCTGGCCTCAAAGACACGTAACTCTGTTGCTGGCCCTGTGGAATGGCCAACACGGTGGCCACCGGCTGCCCTGAGATGGCGTAGGACACAGTGATGGGCATGTCCACTTTGCGCTTCTTCACTGGCTGGAGGACACTGGCTGTGCCAACCCGGCGTTCCCCTTCCCGGGGTGAGCCCTGCTGGGATGGTGGTGGGGAAAGGGCACCCACAGTTTGGATTTGGATCTGCTGACCCCCAGCAAGAGACTGTCCAGCAACCAGCTGAGCCTGGATTTGCTGATGTGGTATGTGCTCCTCCGGAATTTCCGCTGCCTGAATCTGCTGGGCCGCCTGCACATGCTGCACCTGGATTTGGGCCGCTTGCAGCTGCGAGGGGTTGGGGCTCTGCAGAGATGGGGTCTGGATGGAAGAGGCTGCTGACTGTGGTGTCTGGCCCTGGATCTGCACCTGGACCTGGATGGGCTGCTCAGCCGGCTGATGAACGGTGAGCTGTGGGGAGAGCTGCTGAGCCGAGACCTGCTGCGGAGACTGCTGTACCTGCACCTGTACCTGTAGCAACAAGATTAACTAGTGAGTAAGCCAGGTAGCATTGAAAATCCCATCCCTAGGGGACTTAGGCAGGGTCCCCATATACTGTGAAGAGGACCTGCCATAACCCAGGGCACAATCCTCAAAATCATACAGAAATTCTTCAACATCACCCCAAAATCATACAGAAATTCTTCAACATCACCACATTCCAACCTGGAAAGCAAGTAAGAACTACTGCTCAGGAGGAATCAGAATGTTTATTCACTTTTTGTTGTTGATTTTTCATTTGTTTTTGTTTTTAGAGACAGGATCTCACTATATAGTTTAGGCTGGCCTTCAATTCGTTATCCTCCTACCTCAGCCTCTCAACTACTGCCATGAAGGGCCACACTCAGCTATTTGTTTATTTATTTATTTTTGGTACCAGGAATCAAACTCACGACTTTACACTTGACAGGCAGGCGCTGTGCCACCAAGCTATATCCCTGGCCCTGTTTATCCATTTTTAACTCTTCTTTTAAAATGTGTTGTTTTTCATACATGGGTTTAGTAGTTTAAGTGTATGATTTATAAATATATATTTATATATGTTCAAAAATATTTTATCTATGGGCAGGTATGGTAGTGCATACCTGTAACCTCAGCACTTGGGAGGCTGAGGCAGGAGGATCACTGCAAGTTCAAGGTCAGTTTGGGCTACATAGCTCAAGGCCAAAACTGAACTACATAGCAAGACTGTCAAAAAGCAAAAAATTATCTATGGGATAAGTGATAAAAAATGCAAGGCCACTTTTCTAGAAGGTAAGAACAAATACATTCCACACGCATCCATTTCTCATGTGTCCAACTCAGGATCAGACGTGTGCCACTGTGATTGGCCACAAAATAATACTTTATTGTAGATCAAATCTATCTCCCAGGGGCTGGGGATTTAGCTCAGCAGCATAAGTACCTGCTTTGCAAGCACACGGTCAAGAGTTTGATCCCTGGTACCAATTAAAAAAAAAAAAATCTATCTCCCACCATGAATATAGAAAATATGAAGCCAGGTATATGACACACACGTACAGTCCCAACACATTAGGAGGCTGGGACAGGAGAATCACTGCAAGTTTGAGGCCAGCCTGGGCTAAATAGTAAGAACAAGCCAGCTTGAACAGACTATATAGCAAGCCCCTGTCTTAAAAAAAGGAAACAAACCAACAAGGTTCTATTGCATGATTTCTTGGTGTGCTTAAGATACTTTAAGAGAAAAAGCAAGGTTCAGGGATTTAGCTCAATGGTATAACCACCTGCCTGGCAAGTGCAAGGTTGTGAGTTCGATTCCCCGTGCCCAAAAAAAAGAGAAAGCAGATTTTTAAAAGCCCTACAAAATCTAGGTAACTTCATTTTAACAAGATAACCATACTCTGGATCACACATTTCTGGTAATGCAGCTCATTTCTTCTTATTTTATTTTGCAAAACTGCATAAAAACTGTCATACAGGGGCCAGAGATTTAGCTCAGCAGCATAAGTGCCTGCTTGGCAAGTGTGAAGTTGTGAGTTTGAATCCCGGTACCCAAAAAAAAAAAAAAAAAAACCACAAAAAAACCCCCAAAAACCTGTCATACATAGTATGAAATAAAAAAAGGCTTTTCCATTACACATGCATAACTAAAATTACTGTTACTCATAGGTATAAATTATGAAGGTACAAAAAAAGGGTAACAGATAAACGAAAATAAGGCGGCAGATAATTAGAAAACAGATGAGGTTCTGTGTCTAGTAAGAGGACATACATGTCAAAGGACAACCAAAGATGTTTCTTGGACAACTGGATATCTATGTGCAAAAGAATGAAATTGGGGTCAAGGGAAATAGCTCAGTGGCACAATGACTGCCTAGCAAACACAAAGTCCTAAGTTTGATCCTGGTATCAAAAAACAAAACAAACAAACAAACAAAAAAACCCAATGATGTTGGACTTCATATCATACACAAAATAATGGAAATCTGAATAGATGACTCTTTGAAGAACATATACAAATGGTCAACAAGTATAAAGTTGCTCAACATAATTAAATATCAAAGAAATTATATCAAAACCACAATGAGATACCATTTATAACCCACTAGAATGACTTTACCAAAAAAAAAAAAAAAAAAAAGCAAAATAACAGTAACACACATTTATAATCCCAAATTCTTCAGAAAGCTGAGGCAAGAGGATCAAATTCAATGCCAAGGCTAACATGTCTCACAATAAAGGAGGACTGTAGCTCAGTGGTAAGAAAATTTGTTTATTAGCATGACCAAATGCCTGGATTCAATTTCCAGAAAAAAAAGATAGTGACTTTTGGTGAAGATGTGGAAAAAACAGAACTCTGATGGGGGAGGGGAAGGGATGTAAAATTGGCATAGCATTTTAGAAAGCAGTCTGAGCGCTCCTCAAAAGGTAAATGTAGGGGGCTGAGGATTTAGCTCAGCGGCATAAGCGCCTGCCTTGCAAGCAGGCAGTCGTGAGTTCAATCCCTGGTACCAATAAAAACGAGAAAGACAAAAAAAAAAAAAAAAAAGGTAAATGTACTATTTGACAAACATGATAAATCATATAACCCAGCAATATTACACCTAGCTATCTAGTCCACAGAAAACATATATCCACACAAAAACTTGTATATGAAAGTTCACAGCCTTATTCACAATAGATGAAAAGTCTGTATTATACTAACAGCTCAGAGTATTCTAGCTTCAGCTAACTAACTTCAGCTGACTAACTTCAGTTAGTCAAAAGATCACATGGTAACCAGGGACTTAGCTCAGCTGAACAAGCACCTGTCTGGCAAGCACAAGGTGGTAAATTCAATCTCTGATACCAAAAAAAAAACACCCCAAAACACAAAACACCAAAAAAGAGATCACATGGTGCAGTGTAACCCTTAATATTGAATTAGATATTATAAGTAATCTAGACATGATTTTAAATATACAAGAAGGTATACGTAGACCATGTGCAAATACATCATTTTATAAAAGGGCCCAGGCATAGTGATGCACACCTGTAATCCCAGCACTCAGGAGACTGAGGCAGGAGGATCACTGTGAGTTCAAGGCCAATCTCAACTACATAGCAAAAAAAAAAAACCAGTGTGGGGGGGTAGAGGTTAGAGTTAAGCATCCAAATTTTAGTATCTTATATAAGGGATATGCTATACAATTCACAGTTAATTCCGAATCTACTGGCATGGATGGCAGCAAAGCCTCAGTCACAGGTTGTTATTATATCCAAATCCCAAATCCAGTCCCAGAACTCTTAATTTCTATACTGTTCAATTCTCCAAGATAAATAGCATGTATTTATGATTTTTTAAGTTTATAGTAACTGAAAGTATTTTTAGTACATGTTAACTATAGTAGTTTTAGTGTTAAAGTTTCAAAGACTCCCTTTTAGTAGCATACACAAGGCTACTACTAATCAATTCCTAGCACTGCAAAAACAAACAAACAAACAAAAAAACCCTTAAGTGAAAGTAATTTCCATCTTTTCTTTTTTTTTTTTTTTTTTTTTTGAGACAGGTCTCACTGTGTAGTTCAGGTTGGCCTTGAACTCATAATGATCCTCCTGCTTCATCCAGAGTGCTGGGAATACAGGTGTGCACCACCATGAGTGGCAAAAAGTAATTTTTTAACATCTATACAGACATAATATATACATATTTTTTTTATTTTGGTCTTTTTCCTTTTTATCGGTACCGGGGATCGAACTCACGACTGCCTACTTGCAAGGTAGGTGCTTTTTCATTTTTATCGGTACCAGGGATCGAACTCACGACCGCCTGCTTGCAAGGCAGGTGCTTATGCCGCTGAGCTAAATCCCCAGCCCCGCAAAGTAGGTGCTTATGCCGCTGAGCCAAATCCCCAGCCCCCAGACATAATATTTGAACCTCAAAAGCCTGACAGTAAATGCCTGACACAAAAATAATTTCTTAACATCTATATAAGTATTATATTCCTGACCAGGTGTGTAATCCTAGCACTCAGGAATCCGAGACAAGAGGATTGCTTTGAGTCTGAGATTAGCCTGGGCTACGACATGAGTTCAAGGCCAGCCTGAACTACACAGTGAGACCTTGTCTCAAAAAAAAAAAAAAAAAGTTTCTAATACTCAAAACCCTGACAGCAAATAAAGGTGTTAAACAACCTGAACCTAAACATTTCCCTTTTACCTGAACCTGCTGTGGTTGCTGAACCTGGATCTGTTGCTCTTGCTGGGTCTGTGGCTGAACACTGGTGGTGACTGGACAAGCAAGTTCAAGCAAAGACCCAGCCACTTCAGTGCTGTCTGTGTAAATGCAGTTCCCACCCTGTTGGTACACCATGGTCGTGGTGGCTGTCTGCTGGAATTCCTGAAGGGCTTCTGGACCCTTAGAGGCCAGTGAGTCCAGAAACTCCTTCATTCTGTGTTGTGGGACAGACCGTGCCTTCACTCGGATGTATTCTTCAAAGGAAATGGTGTTCTCCAAAGAATTATTCATATTGCAGAATCCTTAGGGTTCCTAAAAACAAATGGACAGAAGTCAAAATTACAGTATTGTTTTTATATCTTGAAATGCATAGAAGCAATCATCTTGATATCAAAGTAGAATAGGCAGGACAGTTGAATATTAACTAGAATCCAAAATAAGTTTTATTGCATCATCTTGTGTTTTCAGTTAATATATAAAAAACATTTCTTAAACTATCACACTGAAAAGAAAAAAAACAAAAGCATGCCTCACTATACTAAAAGAAACAGGCTGAAACAGGAGAAACACTTCCTATTCGCCAGTAGGCCAATTCCACCCTCTTGGCAGATCCAAGCATCACTATGAACAGTAAATGTCACAAACAAAACTGCTCTCTGATCATCACAGACAGAACTACTAAGCAAGGAGAAGGAAGCTAGTATCAAAGATTCCTACTGACTTGTTTTGTTTCAGTCACCAAGCATGTCCTTCAGTGGAGACAGTTACGCGACCCAGCTGTGACAAGACCCAAGAGACAGGGACATATTCTTCATCTCCCAACCAAAGCACCAGCTCCCATCAAAACACCAAAAATCTCATTTGCCCATACAGTGCTCACCTTTTTTTTTGTAGCATAGCTTAGTGGTCAAGAGCACATACTTTAGAGCCAGATAACTGAGCTGAATCAGTCTCAACTGTGTAAGTAGTCAATCCTAGTTTTTCTGTCTATAAAGCAAGGATAAGACAGTACTTACCTCAGATTTGATAAGATTAAAGTGAATGTATGTAAAACACTTAAAAAAGTATCTGGGACAAATAGGTAGCACTGTATTAGTATTAAAATTGTTGATGAGAGGGAACTGAATAATAGTGGCTTAAATAACTAGATCACTACAAAAGTTCAGGAGAGAGGAAGAGAGAGAGAAGGAGGGAGAGAGAGAGAGAGATCAGAAGTCAGTTCTACAGGGCTTTTTGTCAATATTTCTGTACTTAAATTGACCTATGAAGGTGGATGTTCGTATGTGGATACTAAATGACCTGCCATTGCTATCTTTGTCTCTTCCCTGACCAGGACTACCTCCAAAACAAAAACAACAGTAAACTGAGTAGTTTCCTTGCTTAAAATGACTCTCAAGCCAATCTAAAATGCCCAGAAATACAATTTTTTTCTTTGAGTTATCAGGTCAGAAATGCTAGCCTCTCTTTCATTTCCCTGATTCTCCCACCTTATGTTACAGATTTCAAGTATATGAGTAATCATTTTCTTTCTTCCATTTGGCTCTGAATTCCTGGCAGACAAGATTGTGTTCTGCTACTCTCTAGATCACATACAGCCAGTGCTTCTTATATACCTGTTGCATTTGGAATTTAATGCAAAACAGGAAGAATTGATTCCTTCTTTGTGTGACATCCCCAACTTGTAACAATAAAATATAATGTAGGTGCACACACTAGGGAAAAGGAATACAGGAATTTCTCCTATGAAATAGCTAGTACTAACTCTGGGCGGGGGGGGGGGGATTACACATCCAGGGCAAGACTGAAATAAAGGGAAAAATATGGTCCTTAAATTCAATTTAGTGACACTGATACTACTTCTGTGGGGTGTACTGCATAAACATGGAAGACAAGTCATATTTCAATGCTTCCAAACAATAGATTTCAGTAATAATTTTTCTGGGTTTTTTTTTTTTTTTTGTCTTTTTCCTTTTTTATCAGTACCAGGGATCGAACTCACGACCACCTGCTTGCAAGGCAGGTGCTTATGCTGCTGAACTAAATCCCCAGCCCCTAGTAATAATTTTTCTAACAATGCATATAATACATGGAGAATATATTCATCCATGAATAAATAACATACCTTATTTTATCTGAAATCACAATTTCCTGGGCATTGCCTTAGGAAAGTCTCCAATCTTAAAGAAACTCTAAGTATAACAGAATACAGAGAACCACCAGTGTAAGTCATGGGATACAAGAGAAAACCCTTGCTGATGTGCTGTTTTTGGAAACATCACTCTTCTTTGCCCCCTTTTCGCATCTTTTTAGACTATCTCCCTCATTCAGCTTTCCCTTTCTCCCTGGAATGGAGCTTTCTGTTATTTTCTCTCAGGGTAGAAAATTCAATCCTAAAGCCTGCTATGAGAACGCAAAAAAAAAAGTGATCAATTCTCCAAGGCACACTGAAGAGCATCAAGGCCAACCAAACTGTTAGATTTGAGAACAGGTTACTCAAGTGTAGGTAGTCCTCAAAGCTGGAACAAAGACACAATAATATTACAAAGTTCACCATATGCAGGACTCTAATCAAAGTCTTCTCAAAGGAGTTACAAGAGAAACGAGAACCTGTTACAGGGTTCCTCTACCATGTCGGCACATACTTCAGTTTTTCACTTCCACTATAAAACAACAAACAAACAAATACTTAACAGCAGGCTCAAGAATGATGTTGCACTCCTATAATCCCAGTTATTCAGGAGGCTAAGGCTGGAGGACTACAAGTTCAAAGGCTAGACAGGGCAATGCAGTGGGACTTGGTCTCAAATAAAAAAAAAAAAAAATCAGGGAATGTAGCACAATGGTACAGCACTACTGGCTTGGATCCCTAGTAGCATAAAAATACATAAGCAATGTAATCGTTACAACAGCTTCATATGTATGCCTGACAACACCAGTCACATCTTTTATATGGACTGGACACAAGTGCCCTATCTCACCTTGTAATCTTGTAAATGTTTTTTTTTTTTTTGTCTTTTTCGTTTTTATTGGTACCGGGGATCGAACTCACGACTGCCTGCTTGCAAGGCAGGTGCTTATGCCGCTGAGCTAAATCCCCAGCCCCAATCTTGTAAATTTAAATGATTTGTTTCCTTTAGTCTCCTATCCTCCATCTGTACAAAATGCCCATGCAAAAAAAAAAAAAAAAAAAAAAAAGCTGAGAGTCGTGAAGCTCAGGAGTTTACCCGAGTGATGCAAGGGTGAGCAATTAAACACATCACACCAAACAGCCATATCCCTATGTGTTGGGGGGGGGGGTTGTTTTGTGTTTTTTGAGACATGATTTCACTGTTCAGCTGTTCAGGCTGACCTTGAATTCATTTTGTAGAATTCACAAAAATTCTCCTGCCTCAGCTTCCCAAGTGCTGAGATAACAATTGTGCAGTGCCACGCCCAGTTATATCCAACAGGTTCTAAGCCCCCAAACCCACTCTACTCCAGTGGCCAAAACAAAAAAGAAAATAACTCAAGAGAATATGGTCAAAGGATCAGCAAACTGAAGTATGTGAATTCATCAGCAAGATATACAGACTCCTTGTATTTATACTGTTTTTAATGGAGCTAAGGAAATGACCTATTTTAAAAATGTAAACCAGTTTGCCTCTAATTTTTTAATGATACAAAGTAAACAGTGAAACAAACATTTTATCAAGTTAAAAAAACTATTGTTTTGTTTCAGAGACAGGGAATCCCTTTACAGTCCAGGCTGACCTCAGACTCACTTTGTAACCCAGATAGGCCTCCAATTTGCAGTGATCCTCATGCCTCAGCCTCCTGAGTGCTGGGATTAAAAGTGGCTTTTTTTTTTAAAGATAGGGATATGAAGGTATAAAATGAAGTTTTTGTTACAGCACCAAGTATTGGACCTATGGAGCATGGAACTGTATCCCCAAGTGCTTTTTGAGACAGGGGTTCATCAAATTGCCAAGACTGGTCTCAAACTTGTAATCTCCCTTGTTCAGCCTAACAACTACAGCAGCTGGGGTTACAGGCATGTAGCACCATCCCTAGCTGATCTCTAATTTTTAGTCATCAATTTAACGTATTTACCACCCGCCCAGGAGAGTCTAGGGCATTTAAATTACCCTCCTCTCACTCTTTCATCACCCACTGCAATCACTTCACTAATTTTACAGCATCTCTGGGTATTCTACTATGTAAGATAAATAAAGTTCCATGCTCTATTTATTTTTCAGGGTGATACTAGGGATCAAACTCAGGGCCTTGCACATTATAAGCACATACTTTACCAGTGAGCTACTCCACAGCTTCTTTGCCTTCTATTCTTTTGTTTTTGGCTTTTTTGGTTACTGGGAATTGAACTCACGACCACATGCTTGCCAGGTAGGGACTGTGCTGCTGAGTTATATACCTGGCCCTGTCTTCTCTATTTTTGACAAGTATTTAGCCAAGTATAGTTCTACTTAAATACCCTTTTAGTGTACGAATGCAACATTTCATATATCAAATCAAAATCCATAGTTTTTTGTTTTGTTTTGGTTTTGTAAATAAAGGTTCCAAAGCACTCAGAAAACATTCTGCTAACAAAGTCATCTCCAAACAAATGCTATCTATCAGTATTTGCAGAACAGCATCTTCAACCAAGTTACTGCAAGAACTCTAATCCAAATACAAAAAGGCAAACAAAGATATTCAGCTCTCAGAAGAAAATAAAAACTTCAAAAAGTTTCATGCTCTAAAGCATTAAAATTCATTTCTTTTTCAGTACTGGGATTAAACCCAGGTCCTCTGCACTGAGCTATCTTACCAGTACCCACTACCACCTTCGTTGGTGACAGGGTTTCACTAAATTGCTAAATTTCTTGGGCTGGTGTAGAAATTGCCATTCTATTTCCCTCAGCACCCCAAAGTCTTATTTAAATTATAGGCCAGTATCACTTCACCTGGCCAAAATTTATTCTTTAGGGCTAGGGATGTAGCTCATTGGTAAAGCATTTGCCTAGCATAAGCAAAGCTCTGAGTTTGATCCTCAGCAACCCAAAAACTAAGTAAGTATCTAAACTTTTACCAAAAGAGAAAAATAGCCTAGAGTGGTGGTATATATTTACGATCCCAGCTACTGGGGAAGCTGAGGCAAAAAGATCACAAATTCACGGATTGAGGACGTAGCTCAATGGTATACTGCCCCAGGTTCAATCCCAAGTATAACCAAATTAATTAAATAAAATGAAAAGAGCTAGGATGAACCTTGGTGGTGGAGCACTTGCACAGCATACAGAAGCCCTTAGTACAATTCCAGGTAGGAAGAAAACAGAGTATGCTAACGAGTGGGGGTGGGGGTGGGGTTTCTTGCCTGATTCTCTTACACAAAGTTGTGGGTTAATATATTTAATGCCACAGAAGGGTGGCACAGGTGTAAAACAGCACCCAACAAATTTTATTTATATGTTCCAGTATTCTTTAATTATATATTAGAAGAAAAACTATTAAAAAGTATATCAGAATGATAATACTGTATGTAGTAGTTATACCTGACTGATGGAATCACACAGGACTTAAGTTTCTACACAATACTCTTCTATTTTCCACAAGTTGTACTAAACTAAGATAATTTAAAAGCCATCATTTTTTGTAGACCAGTTATATGGCAGTAAGGAAACAGAAAAGCAATTCTTATTGATAGTACTATTGGTTTCCCTAAAAATCTAAACTCTTAAAGACAAAAATCATCAAGCACCAAATATTAATTACATAATAATGAAAGCTGTTAACTTCAAGATGCACTCTCAAAATGCAAAGGTTAAACCTTGATAATAGAGAACTGTAGAGATTTGATATCTCCTATACACAACAAAAGATTCTTAGTGAAGTCAAAGACCTGGTGAGAAGAGGTAAAGAAATTAATCAAAATGCTCTTAAAAAGTATGAAGCTGTAGCCAGGGATTTAGCTCAAGTGCTTGGTAAGTGTGAGGTCTCGAGTTCAATCCCCTGCACCAAAAAAAAAAAAAAAAAAAAAAAGAAGAAGAAGAAGAAGAAGCTGTGAGAGTATTTGAGTACTCAAAATTTCTGGGCATCAAATGAATACTAAAGGAGAAAGTCCTCTGCTGGGTAAGGACTCTGCAAACATCTGCTTCCAAAGATCTCATGTAAGGTCTTTTTGCAAATCAGCTCCCATCAACAGATCCATCTGCTTTTTTTTTTTTTCTTTTTGTCTTTTTCATTTTTATCGGTACCAGGGATCGAACTCATGACTGCCTGCTTTCAAGGCAGGCGCTTATGCCGCTGAGCTAAATCCCCAGCCCTGAGCCATCTGCTTTTAACTACTGTACCTGAAAAGGAGTTCTGATATCTATCTGCCTGTACCAGTACGGTATTTGGTTTACACAAATAGCAGTCCTTCCACACACAAACTATTATTTTATTACCAAAAAAAAAAGATGGTGCCATGAAAAAAGATTACTCTGAAACAGTCTCACAGATCTATTTGCTAATGTCTTTCTTTTTCTGTTTTGTTTTGTTTTTTTTTTTTTGTCTTTTTCATTTTTATTGGTACCGGGGATCGAACTCACGACCGCCTGCTTGCAAGGCAGGTGCTTATGCCGCTGAGCTAAATCCCCAGCCCCTTTTTCTATTTAGGTAAATAAGGAAAATCTAAGTACTTACCAGAATCACCCTTCCTTGGGTCACTTATCTCTGATAACTCTTCCAGGGTCTCCAAACAGTTCTGAAGAGTAGGTCTTGAATTAGTGATGATCACAGTTACCTTCCTAGCTCCTCAGAGAAAAATCTGAGCTGCCTCAAAGAATCCTGCCTGTTCTTTGGTCCTCAAGCCCCGCTGAAGACTGCCATCTATTCTAGTAATGGCTCCTCCTAGTTTTAAAGTGGTTTAAAAGAATATAGTCATATGAAAAGAACAATTTCCACTTTAACAATTAGTCAATCTGTCCTAATATTAATATAATAATGTCAAAGAAGCAGAGCAGAGGATTTTTTTGTTTTGTTTTTTGAGACATGGTCTCACTATGAAGTTCAAACTGGCCTTGAACTCACATCATAGACCAGGTCAGCCTCAAAGCAATCTCCCTGCCTCTGCCTTGGAAGTGCTGGCATTACAGGTATAAGCCACTGCACCAGCCTCATAGTCCTATTCTGTTTTTTTGTTTGTTTGGTTTTTGTAACAAGCATCAAACTTATGACCTCATACTTACCAGACAAGTGCTTGAACCATTAAACTAAATAAATCCCTAGCCCAATAGTCCAACTCTTAAAGATAACTAACCCACTACAAATTTGTGATAGAAATTACTCCATTGGGCCATTTATCTGTCCTGTGATTACAAGAAATCCCTGATATATGGGCATTTTCATCATAATTCTATTTTTTGGACAAAACATACTTTGAGCTAGGAACTTTATATTCAGTTCGTATTTCATCAAACACTGATAGACTGTAAAATGGCACAAGCTACAGAAGCTGCAAATACCATTCTATAAAACCATTCCAACCCCTAGGTGTACATGGCATACATGTATGTATAGGTAAATAGTACTCATACAGGAATGGTCACAGTAGCATTTTTAGTCAAACATTGGAAACAATTTAGATGTTCATCAACTGAAGAATAAATTGTTTATTCAAATAACAATTCAGTATGGAAATAGGAATCAAATATAGCTGCACACATGGACAAAAATCTAAAATAATGAAAAAAAAAAAGTAGAAACCAGCAGTAAAGCATGGCTAGGCATGGTGGTGCACCCCTATAATCTCAGCACTTGGGAAGCTGAAGCAGGAGGACTACAGTGAGCCGAGGCCAGTTTGTGAGTTCAAAACCAGCCTGAACTACACCATTAAGATCTTATTTCAAGATATATAAGTAATCTAAATTTCCATTTACATAAAATTAAAAAAACAAATACCAAATTGTTTAATATAAAGATGGCAAATGTAAAAAGAAGAAGAATGAGATTATCACACAAGTCAGAACAGTAGCTGTTTCTAGAGACTGAGATGTGAGTAGGAAGGGACCCATAAAGGGTTCAGGGATGCTGACATTGTTCGTGTGTATGTGTGTGTGTGCGTGTGTGTTTCAGTATTGGGGATTAAATTCAGCTTTTCACACTGAGCTACATCCTCAGTCCTTCAAAAATTCTTTTTCAAATCAGGCATGGTGACACATACTTGTAATCCCAGGACTCAGCAGTGGCTGAGACAGGAGGATCCTGTGAGATGGAGGCTAATCTGGGTTACACAGTAAATTTAAGGCCAGCCTAAACTACAGAGTGAGAACTAGCCTCCAAATAGAACAAATTCTTTTTATTTTGAGACAGGCTTTTCTTAATTTTCTAAATTGTCTAGGCTAGGTTGGAACTTGCAATCCTCCTCAACTATCTGACTTGCTGGAATTAGAGGCATATGCCACCACATTAGGCTGCAATGTTCCATTTCTTACAATAGTTACAAAGAAGCAGACTTTGTAATTTTTCATGCAACTTCACATACAACAAACACATCTAGATAAAGAATGCACAGGAAAATATTTTCTTTTTTTTTTTTTAGCAGTACTGGGAATTGAATCCAGGACCTCCATACTGAACTATATATCCTCAGCTCTTTTTTTATTTTTTGTTTTTTATTTTCTAACAAGGACTTGGTAAATCACCCAGGTCAGCCTTGTGCTTGCTTTGATACTCCTGTTTCTCGTGTACCACCAAGCCCAGCTTTAGCATCTGACACAAGAAACATTCCTCTTCCCTTTTCAACACAGCAAAAAATAATTTTTTCATGTAGCCACTTCTGTGTAAAAGAAATCACAGTTGAGGGCTGGGAGTGTAGCTCAGTGGCAGAGTATGTGCTTCACAGTTTTGACCACTAGCACTAAAAACAAAAAACAAGTAACAAAAACAAATCACAATAAAACAAAGGAAGTAGCTGACTGAAGCATGGAAAAGATTTAACATCTGAGGCAAACTGCAGGGCAACAAAGTAACTAAAAAGAGCAGATGTTTATATATCTCATTTAAAGACCAACAGAGAAATGACAAGATTTTAAATCAGGTACTTGGCACTGGCATCACAAATTCAACCCCCAAAGTGTAACCTAGTAAGATGTGTTTCAAAAGTAGAAAAACACTGTTGGACCCCTGGGTTCAATCACCAATTCTATAAATGAAAAACAAATAAAATACAAACAAACTTACAAAGCCTGACACTGTAGCACAGTAATCTCAGTTACTCAGGAGGCTGAAGCAAGAGGATCACAAGAATGAAGCCAGCCTGGGTAATTCAGCTAGACTCTGCCTAAAAATTAAAAACAAAATATAAAGGGCTGGGGATGTAGCTAGTGATAAACACGAGAGGGATGTAGGTCAACGGTAGAACACGTGCCTTGCACATAAGAGCCCTGACCTTCACAGATGGCCCTTTACAAAGCACACACGTAGCATGGCACATCAAGCACACATAGCAGTGGACATTAAAAGAAAGCATGCAAGCTTAAAGAAAAGACATCCCTGTTTTGAGGCTGGTATAAAAGGAGATAGCTATACCTAAAGCCCCTGCCTGTGGTTATTACTTTTAGCAAATCAAATTTATATGAAAAATCATCTGGGTATGGGGGTGTATGCTTGTAATCCCAGCACTCAGGAGGCTGAGACAGGAGGGCCCTCAAATTCAAGGCTAGCCTGAATTATATAGCAAGGTTCAGATACCCCCCTCCGAAAAAAAAAAGACAAACAGCTATTTGATCTTTGTTTGAAATGGCAACACAAGATGGAAAAGAGATGTTTAGCTGCAGAAATTCATGGAGGTACATAATTCCCTCACAAAAGACTAGAATATATCAACTATGTAAATCTTAGTTGATGAGTTATGAAAACATTATTTACAAACATTAATTTAAAAAGAGCTCAAGATAGTAAAAAATGAAGACGAATCCAGAACAAGGAAGCCTAAAAGGTATGATAAAACTTTAAATATACCCTAGATAAACTTGATTTGGGAGGATGGGGATGATTTAAACTGTTCTTGGAGGCTTTGCTATTGCTAAGGCTAAAAGTTGCACTGACTTACATTTCAAGAGAACAGTTTTCAAGCCCACAGGTACAGCCTCCTACATCTTCCATTTTCTAGTACCTAGCTGTTTCTGGCAGAGAGCATCCCCATTTGTAATGTTTCAGTATTACCAGAGAAAGTTGTGCACACATACTTCCAGCACATGAATGATTTAACTCACCAGTCACCATGTTGAATGTATTTCTGCTGCTTGTCGTGAGTTCTTAAGACTTCTAACATTCTGAAGAAGACAGAACAAAGAAGTTCCTTCCATCCTCAGCCTTTTTTTTATTTGTTCTTCAAAAAATACAGTATATTTTTAAAACTACCCCAGCATCATCAAATGTGCTAATTTCGCTCCTTTTATCTTCCTCTTTGTCAACCTTAATTAAGCAAGACAGTACAACATAAACTAGGAGATATTTTAGCTAAAGAAAAACAGATGCATATTTTCCTAAGACAAACTTAGAATTCTCTTGGAGCCAGAACACTGCCGAAGCAGGTGGGGGAAAGAGGGGAAGTGCAGAGAATGTAAGGATTTAAGTCATTTGACTATCACAGTGATACACAGGCAAGATTTAGAGACTTCTGGGGAATTCTGAATTTAAAAAAAAGGGGGGGGCAAAGCGTTCTCAGGTTCATCCAATTTGTTCTAAGCAACTTTTTGGCTGGGGGATAGTGCTCAGTGGAACTGACGAAAGTAAGCTCCTCCCACCCATGCAGGAAAAAAAAAAAAAAAAAAGACTATTTAAGGATTTAAAGGGGCATTTTAGAGCTCACAGAGTTTCTTATCTTCTACAAAGGAGGATCCCCTTCCGGAGCGCGCAGAGGTGACTTGTATGAATTGCGCTTATGGAAGAACTGGTTTATAATGAAAGGAAAGCAGATACTACTGAAGGGTCTTGTGACGTTAACGTTCCCTCCCTGGCACAAAAGGCACCAACACAAGGTGAAAAACCCAAAGAGACTCAATGCCTTTTCGGGTCAAAAGGATTGCGTTTCCGATGCAGAGCAGCACCCTCCCCAAAAACCCACCCACCCCACACATTGGGAGTGGGTAACCACGTTCTTCGAAAACCAGCACTCTCGCCTGCCTCGGAAAGAAGCGGAGCCGAAAACTAGACAGCAAACCCGCTAGGTTTCTCCGCAGGCCTAAACCATGGCTGCCCAGAGACGTCACCAGAGCAGGAAGGGCCCAACCCTCAAACTTCCCCACGCAGCGAGCCTCAAGCCCGCAGCCCCAAGGCTCAGAAGCGGCGTCCTGCGCGCGCCTAAGGCAGCATCGCCACCCAACAGCAGGGCGCGAGCACGAAAATCGGGGGTCGCACGCGGGCACGCGCCAGGGAAGCCGCTCCTCTCGAGGGCCACAGCTCCGAGAGCCGAAATATCCGCGACGAGGACGCGCACGTCAGCGGCCACGCGCCTAAGAGAGCCGCACAGCGCGTGCGCGCATTAAAAAAAAAAAAACCCATGCTCGGGTGCGCGCCCGCAATAACGCGCGCGCCGCGCCCACACGAATCTTCGGTCTGCCCCTCCCCCATCCAGGGGCGGGGGCACGCGGGCCCAGGGACGTTCTCGGCTCCCAAGCCGCCCCGAGCTCTCCTGGGCCCCACAGCAGCAGTCTGCACACCCCCGCCCGCCGTTGTGTGGAATGGGCCTTTGGCACAGGCCTGCAATCTCCCCGTATCCCTGCCCCCACTGAAGCCCTCACCCGGCGACGTCACCGCCGCCGCCGCCTCCACTCGACCCGCCGGCCCCGCCGAACTGCCAGGGGCCCCGGTTCCGCCGTCGCCGACCCAAGACCGACAGGATTTTCTCCTCACAGCTCCCTGAGCGCCATCTTACATTCAACCCTCACAGCCAATGGGTGCTGAATGCCTCTCTCGCGAGAATAAGAGCGTCGGTTCCCGCGAGAGGTGAGGCTGCCTCTTGGCCAGACTTAAAGTGAACGCTTCAGACCCGGAGGAAGGCCGCGCCCCAGGCTGTCGGAGCTGAAAGCAAATCCCAAAGTGTGGGGCGGGGCTCTCCGCCCCTGGACGGCCCTCCATGCAGGGCGGAGCTAGGTTGGGGTTCGGCCCAGCGGGTGGCCTCCTGGGCTCCGGCTGGGAGCTCCACCTGGACCCACCTTCTGCCGCCCGCCAGAGCCTCCTTTGGTCGCGCAGCCCCACGCGGGGCGGGGCCCGCCGCGGGCTGGCCTTTCGCTTAAGGTGGCTCCACAAAGCCCCGACCCGGGGCATCGCGCCCCTCTACCTTCCTTCCTCCTAAGTTCCAGGGATGCTCACTTCTAGAAACGCGCTATGTGTGTAATCCTGGTCTTACAGTGCCTTTTGAACTCAGCCCTCTGCAGTCAGGTCCACCTTAAAACGGCCCGGGGTAGCTTGGTGTTTGTATACAGGGAAAATGTGGAAGGCGTTAAAGCTGCAGGCACACGTTGCAGCCCACACTCCCCACCAGCCTGCTGGAGATCCCTACTGTTTCTAGGCCTGGGCACTTTTCCTTCTGTTTTGGCACAGAAGGTGCCAAAAGGGTGCCAAGTTATTTTTTGAGAGTAGGTAGTCCAAGGCCCAGGCTGGGTCAGGATCCTCTTCCAAGCCTGGTGATCTCTCTCACACAATGGAGACACTGTCAGCGGTGTTTCCCCTTTTCTAGATGAATTTATAAGATGCCACATTTCGGGGCTGGGGATTTAGCTCAGCGGCATAAGCGCCTGCCTTGCAAGCAGGCAGTCTTGAGTTCAATCTCTGGTACCGATAAAAAGGAAAAAGACAAAAAAAAAATTTTTTTTTAAAAAAGATGCCACATTTCTACCTCATGTCATCCGCGCTTGACACATTCCTCGACACTCTATAGTTGCTGAATAATCAGACCAGGAGCCAGCATTGTGTGCCTAGGCACAGGGCTCCTAACCATGGTACAGCAACTTTGGGGCCTTCCTACCCCTTGGACCAGGTACAGATATTAATCCCAACCAAGTCTGTGTTCCCTGGGGCCAGATAGTGTATAAGTGAAATCGTCAGTGCCCCTTTGTTCTGGGACAGCCCATTCTCACAGTATGTATACAAGCAGCACACACACGTAGCCTGTCTCCAGAGTGGAGTCCTGAAGTACTAAAAGAGCAAATCATACAGACTCCAGGGGAGATTTAGCTTCTCTTTATTGACATGGAGTGAGGGGCAATGAACCACTTCTCAGCCTTCAGGAGGATGAGGTAGGTGCACAATGCTTCCAGTTCACATCTTTCCTGGGTCCTCCTTCAGTGTGACAGTTCGGTTGAAGACAAGCTAGAGGGCAGGAGGAGAAGGATGACTACCAATCCAGAACCAGGTCAAATGGCCTTGGTAGGTTTCATGGGATCAGGAGATGCAGGTTCTCAGTAACTTTATGACTTTGGGTATGGGACCAGAGAGCTCTGGAGATCAATTTCAAAGGGATTCTAACCCCCATGCCGGTCCTACTTTGAAGTAGGATCTATAATAAAACTGTGTACATTGTACTTAATCTGAGTTTCCTCATCCATAGAACACAAATGCCCCCTCCCCAGCTCAACTGGTGACAATTAAGGGACTATGGGCAGAATGCTTATCACAATGAATGGCAGCCAATCCCACTACCGGCCGAAAGGGTCAAAAAGGTAAACTCAAGTACCTGTCCTGGGCAGCTATCTGGATCCACGGAGAAATACCCAAGGCGCTCAAACTGGAACTTGTCAAAGGGCTTTGCCAGAGCCACAGAGCAGTCTACTAATGCTGTTTCCACCACTCGAAGGGATTCCTGCAGGCAGGGAACTCAGGCAGCAATCCAAATAGAGAGATCCCCCACCATCCCCACACTCTTGAGCCTACCGGATTCAAGTCACTTAGGAATCCACCAGGGACCTCAGCAGGATCTTCAGGGTTCTTATGCTGGAATCTACACATAAAGGGATGGTCAGACCCCTAGCTAGGCAACCACAGAAGTCAATGCCCACCTTGTAACTCTTCCGTTTACTCACAACTGCTGATAGAGTCGCATCTCACACATTAGAGGCTGTGACACCCAGTGAATAAAAGCTTTGGGCTTCTCCCCAGCATCAGCCCGTCTGCAGATCACCTCCAGGCTCTCCACAAAGTCACCGGGGCCCTTGGAGGTAGGGAGGGTTACAATCAGAATGGGGAACCACCACCAAATTCTAGCCCCAGCAGGTACTGCTGTAGGAGAGCTACAGCTGCCTCACCTTGACAACACGTTGCAACTCAATGACGTAGCCTGTATGTCTCAGGCCCACAGGCTGGCCCCAAGCCAGGCGCTTGTAGCCTCGCTCTGGCTCCTAGGTGTAAAAGGGGTGTAAAAACAATGCTGAGCCAAAAAAAAAAAAAAAAAAAAAATGCTGAGCAAGGTGGTACACAGCAGTAATCCTAGCACTTGGGAGGCTGACGCAAGGAAATTGCTTTGAGGTCACGAGTTCAATCCCCAGCACCAAAAAAAAAAAAAAAAAGAGGTAAGTATGAAGCTTTCCTCCCACCCCCATGTCCAGCAGGATCTGGTTTATTTAAAGAAAGTAGTAAGATGAACAGATAGGATGAGATAAAAAGACCCCAGCATTGGGGATTTAGCTCAGCGGCATAAGCGCCTGCCTTGCAAGCAGGCAGTCGTGAGTTCGATCCCTGGTACCGATAAAAACGAAAAAGACAAAAAAAAAAAAAAAAAAAAAAAAGACCCCAGCATCAGAAATAACAGCAAACAGGACCCTTTATTTACCCCGTTCAGAACCCTCTATCCCATATTCACCTCCTTGAAGTCCATCTTCTCGATAAAGAGAATGGATGCAAAAGGAACCTGGTGGAAACCCTTGGTCTCATCAGCTGGAAAGTTGGGCACCTGGATGTCTAAGGGCTAGAGCAGAAAAATGGTATATGAATCACATCAGGCATGAGGATCCCCATGCCCAGGCACTTGTCCACACACACACCCATGCACCTTATTTACACACATACTGTTGAGACAGGCTCACCTCAAAAGAGGGAAAATTGGTGATAACAACCCGTAGCGGTTCTAGCACAGCCATGGCCCGTGGAGCTGTATCATTTAGCACATCACGCACACAGGCTTCTAGAAGATGTGGCTCCATTGTAGTCTGTGCCACTGTCACCCCCACCTGATAAGAAAATTCATCACAGCCA